GGCTCCTATGGACTTCTCCCATCCGATCGTGGGATATGAAATGAACTCGATTGTTTCTGGTAAACCATGCCATGATTAATGCTGCAAGTATTTGGGTACAAGCTTGTGTTTCTGATGTCTGTGCTTGAGTGTTGTTTGAACTTCCACTTCTAATGGATCAGAGATACAAGGAAAAACATTAATAGACCAACCAATATTGCCCTAAACTCTAGCTAGCTAGTAACTAGGTCACAGGTGATATGAAATGCTATATATATTCTTCTCAGTCATTCTCTGTTTTGGCCTAAAGAAGCCCTAACTAATTTCTGTTTGGTCTGTGAATTAAAAGAAGCATTGTTGAAGCTGTCGGCCATAGAAATGACAAAAGAAAGAACAAAAGAAAAGTGGAGAATATTCAAGCCATTTCAACAAAGAAAGGGCCATTTCTTATTTCTCATCACTGTTGGTGAATGGTGAAAGGAGGCTTTTCTTTACTTGTCTCATTTGCTTGCCTTGCCTCCATGACAGTGTGCAAGATCAAGCAGTGCAACTATTAAGGCCCTGTTCGTTTTTCTTTTTTGGCTATTTACCTAGGTAAGCTTTATTTATTTGTATCCTTTTATTCCTTAAGTGAATAAAATTATGACTATTTTATCTTTAGAAAGCTATTTATCTACTTGGGAGATAACTTTTGGGTGGGTCTTATAAGATCCACAAAAAAAAAAAAAAAAAAAAAAAAAATTGTTGGTTAATGAGAACCATTTTCCTCCCCTCCCCCTATGTAACCTGGAGGTAGAGGTGAAAATCGGGTTATGCCAAACTATTTTTTCAAATAGTTCTCAAAGGAAAGTTAAATATTTTAGTTTTACTTAACAAAAAATAAAAAATGTCATAAAAAATCAGTCTGGCCTAGTTGGGCCCATGCCCAAGGCCCGGCCTATAGCCTACGGCACGACTTGCAGCCCATCCGGTTTAGGCCCGTGCCATGGGCTTGGGCCGTGAGCCATGTCGGACTGACCTCCCAAATTATCTTTGAAGAGGGTAGCATGGCCCAAGATGACTTGTGAACCGGTACGACACGGCCCACGTTTGCATGGGCTACAGGTGGGTCGTGCCGTGCCGGCCCAGCATGACCCATTTTACACGTCTACCTGTAAGAGGGTTTGGTGAGCCCATAACTTGCCAGGTGTCCCATGTATCAAAGAACCAGGATCCACTATTGAATGCTCTAGCCGGAAGAAAAAATGAGCAAACCTTTGGGCTTTTCATATAACCCCAACTATTGAATGCTCTAGGTAAGGTTGGATCCATCTCATCCTCACTAAATTAGGCCCAACTCAACATAGCTCGTCATAAGCTTATTTGGTTACTGAACCATGGGCCAACAAACCCATGTTGAACGCCTTATTTAGAAGACCATAAAATGAATTGTTTCTAATATAATTATTTATTTATTTATTTCCTTTAAACAGTAGGGAATGCCTCCTAGAGGATTGAAATAGAACTGTTTTGTCTACTTTCAACCATAATTAAATATTTAGGTTGTTTTTGGTTTAGTGTAAATTACGAGAAACAGAAAGTCGGGGGAAAGGCATCCTACAGGGGTGCAAATGGACCGGATCATGGTCCGATCCAAATTTGAATCTGATTCTATTTTGTAGATTCAGACATTTCCTTATTTTTGGATCAGATCTCATCGGTCCAATGTGTATATTATTTATTTATTTATAAATATGTTTATATTACATTTTTATAAATTTTTATATTATTTACTCCTTTATAAAAAGCCATGCATATATATGATGAAAATAGTTAAAAAGGCTTTCATTTTTTGTTTTTATCCTTTTAGTAATTTGTTAAATTTACAGAAATTAAATCAGATCAGATCATATTTAGATATCCAATATCCTTAACAGATTCAGATTCAAATTAACTTTTGTAAGATCTGATTGAATCAAATATAAGATTTATATTATTGATTGGATTTGGATATACCTCAATTTGAATCCGGTCCAAGCACCTAGGGGTGGATTTGAGCCGAGCCAAGCCGAATAGTATGAGGCTCGAGCTCGACTCACCAAGGTAGTATAAGGCTTGAGCTAGAACCTTGAGCTTGAGCTCGGCTCGAGTCAAAAACTCGTAAGCTCGAGCTCGATTTAAGAAAAATGTTTTATAAAAATAAAAAATTATATATAAAAATATTTTTATTTGATATTTAAAAAATTAAGAATTATAACAATTTTATTATATATATATATATATATATTATTTTTTATAATTCTCTCTCTCTCTATATATATGTCACCAGAATTTCTATTCCTATTTATTTTTTGTAGGAATTGGATTTAATGAGCAGCTCAGTGCACGAGGCTCCTGCCAATGCAGGTCTTAGGAAGGATACATGTGCGCAGCCTTAACCTTGTTGCCTTATTTTTCTAAGTCTGCGAGTAAAGACTAAAGAAGCGCAATAGTTGGCTTTCTTGGTGAATGGGTTACACGTTTTGCTTAATAATTGGCTTTCTTTGGTGAATGGTTTTATGAAGTGAGTCTTGAAAAACTTGCTTCACCTTTTCAAGGGGTAACACATTTTGCCCAATACTTGGATTCAGGAGGTGGATATTCATCTACTGACCTTTTCTTGATAGGCTACTGATGTTATCTCTTTAAGCATATAAGTCTTTCTAAAAAGAATGTGACATGTCTTCATGTCTCCCTATAATTTTGCAAGACCAAAAACCTTAGACCTAGTATATGTTTGGCATCGATGCTGCAGATGCAGCACCGTTTTCTGAGAAAATGGTGCCTTTATTTTTATTTGATATTATTACTGCCAGATAGGATGTTTCCTGGAGCAACAACATTTTTTGTTTGGTGCCATTGCTCCAGAAAACATTTTCAGCACCGGTACCCATTATCCAGTGCCACATCACTGCCCTATTGGCAGCAACGGGCTGCAACTCTAGGAAATGCCAAATTTGATATTGCTCTAAGCCATGCCTTCCCGATTTCCGAGACATGACTTGGACCACCATTTTTTATGAAAAAACGATTCTAAACAAATGCCCATTTCCTGGAACACCGTTTTTTCCTGTGGCATTGATGTGGCGATGTTGCTCTGGCAACGATGCCAAACAGCCGCCTAGAATCCTGGTACTGATGGAAGGGTGATGATCCTGGATTTGTCAAGTGTTGAAATGTCAGACAAAATGTACAAAACAGAGTCCTATTGTGTGAAAGAGATTGGTTTAGGAAAAAGAAAAAGAGTGATGATACAGTGAATGCCCTATTGTGGGTATCACTTACTGGTTTGAAAAGATAAAATCTCATTGGTTTGCCACTAGACTAAAGGTACAACTTGGGCGGATTGGGTAGGGTTGAGGGTCAATGGAAGCTCAACCTTAAAGACTCAGACCTCGGGCTTGGGATGGTTCAACCCCAGGTCAAGTCCAATTTTAACAAACCCAGTCTGACACCAGCTTAACTTAATATAATATGGGCCGGGTTGGTCACAGGTGGGTTCGGTCAGGTTTTTTAGAATGTATTTTAGCAAATCTACCTTTGTTGGGAGATCACTGCACTGAATCATTGAATGTTTTAAAATCACCTCCTTTAATGGTGCCACGGCAAAGAAATTATGGTCTTTCTACAACAATATGTTTAATGTCTCCACTATTGAATCCTAACATGTATTAGATAGAATATATATGTTGCAGGGTCTCGTTGCAAGCAACTCTCAGCTCCATCACTTTTATATAATTTTGCCATCTATTCTCAGTTGGGTGATATGGAAAGAAAGATGCCCGTGTAGATATGAAAGAAAGGGAGTGCCGGCCTTAACCCTCGTAAGGAAAATTAGTAAGTGGATAAGAGGAATTAGTATGCTCCATGGAAAACCCTCTATATTTAATAACTCTTCGATCTTTAACATTCTCAGTATTTCTACTAAACTTATGGAGTTAAAATAAGATGGATTTATTGGTAAATTTCTACTGTTTTCCCTTATGCTATGTTTGGTTTAAAATAAAAGGTAGGGAAGGTAGACGTAGAGAAACCTAAACAAGCAACCCTATTTTTCAACTTTCTAAGGTAGGGAAACCCATCCACATTCGACTTTCCATGGGGTTGCATACTTGCATCTCTTCCAAATATAATGTCTTTCAAATACCTGTTATTACCTCTCAATCTCGATTTCATAAATACCATTGTCAAAACAAATTTTAAGTCCATTATGAAAAGTATGAAATTTAGCAAGAATGAGGGAACCAAAGCCATAGAAATTATAAAATGCCAAGCAAAAATCCAAAGATGGTTTCTCACCACATTACCTCCACCCTCCCCCAGAATAGAGAAATGGATGCAGTAAATTAATCCTCTATTAAAGATTTCCTCAAGATCAAAGATCAAACTTCAATCAATAGCAGGCTATTCTTTGTATGGGTTTATAGATCATTCCCCCCAAAAAATACAAAGCTGAGGCCGGAGGATAGTACATGTTAATCCAGTTCCTGTTAGTTTCTATAAATTGAATGTGGATGGTTCAACTCATGGAAACCCTATTCCAAGTGGTGGCAGGGGCGTTATACACAAGGTGGAAGAAAGAACTTATGTCTTGGCTTTTCCTAAAGCATATGGTTCTAATACAAATCTTATAGCTGAGGCAAATGCTCTTCTTGATGGTCTAGAATTGGCACGGACCATGGGCGTTACAAATATTATGGTAGAGAAAGATTCAAAGGTTTTGTTCAAAACTGTGCACTGCAGGCTAAATCTAAACTCCCCTGAAAGTTGTGGTATTGGAAGGAAAATTTTGATGATCATCTGTTATTTGCGGAGATTACTCTTGTACATATTTTTAGAGAAGCCAACCAAGTAGTGGATTGGCTTTCAAAACAGGCTTGTGAGTAGTCATCGCACATAATCTACAACTCTTGTGATGATTTGCCGATGGAGGTGAGTTGATTAGTAAGGGATGATGATTCGGGTATTCCTGTTTTGTGTTATACATAGATATTTCCTCGATATCAGAAGAAATGATATACCAACGTTGATAACGTACATCAGAGGAAAAGCAGTGGATCAACGTCATATCAACACATTACAAATAAATTCTGGTGAAGAAATGAAGAAACCAACTGAAGAGCAGGATAAAGAACATCAGGCCCTTGGGTTTTCTGATGAAACAAAACCAAACTGAGAATACAAAAATGAGAACGCTACCACTGTGTCTATGCGCCTATCATATCGTAAATACATTTAAAAATCTCGTGAACAATGAAATAACATTTTTCCTCTCTTATAAATCAAAATCCATCTACTGATGTTACCTCTTTTTTCATGTTGAACATGGTCCCAGTTCACCAATGCCCCCTAATCAGCCTATAGAACATGATAGGATTACAGAAAGACCTTAAATCCCGATAATCCGGTATGATGTTTAGATTTATATCATGATGGGGTGCTTGAAGCCAACTTCTTTTTTGGTGGTGGATTTCCTCCAGAAATTAGTACATAGGAGTAGAAACACAACATTGCAGCACTGACCATGAGGAAAACCCAAAACAGTTAGCTTTGCATTTGGTAGTCCTCCGTGCTCAATATTATAAGCAAACAAAAACAACAGACCAGAATAGGCAGTACCTAGCAATGGCAGAAAGCCCTGTAGGGAATATTTTCCTTGTCTGCATTCAGAATATTAGATTATGGTCAATGTTAGGGAATCAACATACTGATGGTGGAAGATAACAATGTGGTGATATATTACCAAAGAGTAGGTCTGGAAATGCTTTGAAAGAAGGGCTGCAGAAAGTGCTGCAAGATGATGAAAGCAGAGGTAACTTGTACTACTCTACAAATGATAATAAGTTAAACTTGAAAGATGGAAGGTGAACATTTTTTATTTAAAAAAAAAAAGATGGATCAAGATAATACAGGGCACTTAAAACACATATTGATGCAAATACTTTAAGCATTCCAAGATGATACTATCATCATATGCCCCAAGTTACAACTAAACATTTAGGCTCATAAAAGTACTCAGTATGTTCTATGGTTTCAGATTAAAATTGTCTCTCACCAGATGTATAGATATAACTCACTGTTCTTATGGAAGGGAAAGTCAATCCAACACTGCTATTAGATGGTTCTGTAGAAATGAAATTCATGAATATGGCTCGTTTATGAAAATAACCATTTTATGGGTTTTACATTGACAGCCATAAAACAATGATAAGTCAAGATTTGGGTTTACATCCCTTTCCTCACTAACTGTCAAAGAACTTGTAGGTATTGCTCCGTTTAGGAAGAGTACAAATACAAATATGTACAGTGCAAATACAAATATTGTCGTTTGTCATGAACCATACATATTTGAATTTGCACTGAACATATTTGCATTTCCTCTCTTCCCAAATGGAGCCTATAGCACAATTTAGATTTTTATTATATCCTCTCTATGTCCATTAACTTCTAAGCAGTGTTGATTGACCATAAAAAGTTAACTTCTCAAAGAATTTTCCATCGATGCTGTCTGGAATGGAAATGAATTACTACAATTGTTTAACTTTTGAAATTGATAATTATTGTGAGAGGTACTTAGAATTGGGATCTGATATTGTTTAATAAACAGTGAAAAGAATGGACCAGACAGAAGTTGAAAAAAGCTCAATTCATGTATTGAGGTATAACAGTTTTTTTTTTTTTTTATCAGCTATTTAGGTATAACAAGTGTCAGCTGGAATATTCACAAAACTAACTTCAGTATGCATTTTTACTAAGAGTTTACTTCAGAGATTTAGTTCAAGTTTCAGTTTGTTCTATGAACTTTTTACAACCTTGAGGCAAAGGATAATTCTTCAGACCCTAAGATGACCAACAATAATTTAGACAATTAGCTGGCTATTGATGGTCCGTTCAAGGACTTTATTTAACTTGATGGTTCTTACTATTTTTTTATAATCTTTTCCGTTAGGGTTTGACTATGACATTGGAAAAACTTATACCAATTAACTAGTATCATAAAAGTGATAACCAGAAGAGAAGGGTTAATATTGCATGCCTCCAAGAAACAAATTGGAAGGGTAAAAAAGCTTAAGAAATTGATGGCTACAAATTATAATATACGAAAGAGGTGGATAATAAAAATTGTGTAGCAATAATAGTAGATAAGGATTTAAAAAAACAAAATTGTAAATGTTAAAAAATTGGGGATAGGATAATTTTAATTAGACTTGGTTTAGGTGAGGAAATCATTAACATAATTAGTGCTTATGAACCTCAAGTGGGTTTAGAAGAAAACATAAGGCAATTTAAAAAAAAAAATAGAAGGATTAATCCAAGAAATTCCAAATGAAAAGAAGATTTTTATAGGAGGAGACTTTAATGGGCATATAGAAAAAAGAAGTTAAGATATGATATGGTACATGGAGGATTTGGATTTGGGGAGAGGAATGAATCAGCCATCAGGAGGTACAATATTAAATTTTGTAGTAGCTTATGATATGGCAATTCTAAACACCTTTTTTCCAAGAAATGATGAAAACTTATTAACATTTAAAAATGGATTAAACATAAGTCAAATAGATTTTTCCCTTACTAGGAGAATAGAAAGAATGATTTGTAATGATTGCAAAGTTATTTTGGGAGAAAGCTTAACAACACAATGTGTGCATTAGGAAATGGAAGAGAAATAGGTGTCCAAGAATTAAGTGGAAAAACTTAAAAGGAGAAAAGCTAGCTCAATTTAGAAAAAAAGTTGATAATAAAAGGGGCTTGGAATTTAGATGGAAAGATTAATGATATTTGGCTTGAAATGGCAAGCAACATAAAGATAGTAGCAAACAAGTTTTTAGAAGAATTTAAAGGGAAATGGAAAAGTACAAAAGAAACTTGGTGGTAGAATGAAAAGGTTCAAAGTAAGGAGGTTAAAAAGAAAGTAAATGAAATTAAATGTGAATGATGAGATTTAAATGTATATGATGATAGAAATAAAGAAAATTGGCAAAAAGATAGAAAAAAGGTATATGATGAGATTTACCGTAAGTAAGGAGGTTAAAAAAATGGCAAAAAGATAGAAATAAAGAAAATTGAGAAAAAAATATAAAACCATAAGTAAGGAGGTTAAAAAGAAAGTGAATGAAATTAAATGTATATGATGAGATTTACCATAAATTAGGCACTAAAGAGGGAGAAAAAAGGTAAGGTATAAACTAACAAAGTTGAGAGAAAGGAAATGGAGATATTTTTGAGAGAAAGGTATGAAAATATTAAGAAAACAAAAAACAATATAACAAGCTGCTATACAAAAAAGGGGGGATGCAGTGATGCACAGCCAATGCCCATACGACCCTAAACCTCCCACCCTCTGCTTTACAAAAATATTATAATATACAAAAAAGGAATTGAGATTTCTTTCCCTACATGTCCATAGCCAGACAGGAAAACAAGTTCCCCAAGATTTTCTGGAAAACTGAATCTACCGAGCTGCTCTTGTTTTTGAACATTCTTGAGTTTCTCCCTTGCCAGACACACCAAAAAACTGATGCAGGAGTGATATTCCATGCTACCTTCCCCCTTTTGGTTAGACCAGCTATACTACAGCTCAGTAAGAAGTCCACCACTGATTCTGGGTTGCAGGTTTGCACCTCAAACATTTTCCAAATCCTTGAACAAATCTCGTGGGCAAAGTCACAGTGTAACATCAAGTGGTTAATTGATACGACGTGCTCGCCGCACAACACACAATTATTGGACTCCAAAGGCAAGGCCCTCCTAGTTAAGTTATCCCTGGTTAGGATTCTGTTGAGGTAGGTGGTCCACACAAAGAAGGCTAACTTTGACGGCACATTTTTGCACCAAATGATGTTTGCTGGAAGCCTGTTCCTCTGATCTGGACACGTGATTATAGAAGGATTTGACTGTATAACTTCCAGATTTATCCCACTTCCACAGCCTTCTATCAATGCTCCCAATCTCCACCCGAGTGCTCTATAATTTGTGAAGCATTTCCATCATTGCCTCCACCTCCCAGTCATTTAGGTTTCTTCTGAAACGAGGAGTCCAGACTACATTCCCATTCTGCACCTGTAAGTGGTCTGCCACCCAAGTTTCTTTGTCTATTGCCAACTCATACAGGGCAGGGAAAGACTCATTCAGTGGTCTGCCTTCACACCAGGAGTCTTCTCCAGAATGTCACCTAATGGCCATCAGGCCCATCACCAATTTTGAAACTTTTTGTCTATTTAAACCATGTTAGGTGCATTAAAGATGAAGATCAAAGTGTTGGTAAAAGATGAGGAAATCAAACAAATATGGAAAAATTATTAAATGTAGAACAAGGAGAGGGTGCTAATGGAGGAGAAACTAGCAATACTAATAATATTAAAAATAATATGGACTTTTATAGAGTTAGACCTACTAAAGTAAAAGAAGCACTAAATAAGATGAAGGGGAATGTGTTAGGACCTGATGGGATTCCAATAGTGTGGAAAGGTATGGGAAAGGCAATGGTAGACAATGGGTGGGATGTTGGTCTTGATCCTAGGGCATCTCATTCTTCTCCCTGGAAAGTGATCCATGGTTTATTGCTTTCCTTTATACATCAGGTATGATGCTTGTGCAAGCAATAAAGTGTGTTTCTAGGAAGAAGCTTGGTTTGGGGCAAGGTTCAAAGTATCAATACGATATGCATATCAGCAGTATCGTATCGGTACTTAGAAACGGCCGAAACTCTATTTTTTTAGTTTTTTTTTCAAATTTTGGTTTTTTGGGAAGCTAAAAACATGTTTTTTATTATTAAAAAAAGTTGGGGTTCCGAAACACCTGAAAACAGGCATTTCGAAGCATATGTTTTTCAAAAGATACGATACGATATGCCCGATACGGGGCGTATCGTATCGATACTTTAAACCATGGTTTGGGGATCCCTCTTTTAAAGATAGATTTCCATCCATCTATTCCCTTTCCCCAAACAAAGGGAGAATAATATCCTCTGTTTTTGGTAATGAAAATTCTTGGGACTTGGGATTAAGGAGAGGGTTAAGGAAATCTGAAATCGGGTTGGTAAATGAACTCGTTTCCCTTCTTAGTATAGTGTTCCTGATTCACTCTTGTTTGGACGGCAAAATTTGGTCAGTGTCCTCCTCTGGTTATTTTACTTGTGCTTCCTTCTTCACTGCCCTCTTTCACTCTTCTAACATGGTAGGTTCTTTTCCAACAAAGGAAGTTTGGTGTAACCATGTACCCCAAAGATAAGGGCTTTTCGTTGGGAGGTGGTGCTCTAGATAATCAACACCTTGGATAAGCTACAAAAAAGAAGGCCAAATTGCTACCTCTCCCCTAATGTTTGATGTTTTTGTTTGGGCTGTGGTGAGACAATTACACATCTATTATTATCTTGTCCTTTTTCTTCTTTTGTTTGGAATTGGTTTTCTTCTCTCTTTGGTTGTGGGTGGACCCCTCCTTTAGATGTGGCAAACCTTTTTGAAACAAACTTTTTTAGACTACCAACGAAAAGGGGCAGGGTGATGTGGAGAGCCATAAGAGCAGCTATCTTGTGGTCAATATCAGTGATTTAAAAGGCACGCATAGGTGCACAGGCGAGGTGCATTCTAGGGTAGGCGCCTCGCCCAAGTCTTAGGCGAAGCCCTTTCAAAAGGCACACGCCTAGTGCACCTAGGCGTGCACCTGGTGCGCCTTGCACCTCAGCCTAGGCGTGCACCTTTTGAAAATCTGACACTTTTTCCTTTTTTTGAGTCTAGCGGTTGGGCCGGGGGCAGAAAATTTGGTAATGTTGTCCATTCATTCATCCTAATAAAATATTTTCTTAAAAAGAAATTAAAGCTATAAAATCATTATTTTTTGTGTGAAAACTAAGAATTTAAGACCCCAACATGGACTTGTTTGGGCTTGCCTCTAGGGGTGTGGCACAAAGGCGGCTCATGGAATTAGGAATGTAATATGTCACATTAGCTACTTTAAGTAATGTAATTGAGAAAAAAAGAGATTGTGGGTTTTATATGCTTGAAAATGTTTTAAATGTTTGATTTCATTTTTAAATTCTCATTTGAATATGCTTTACATATTATGTTTATGTATTTGAATTTTAGATAATAGGTTTTTTAATACATTTATTTTAAAATTTAAGTTTATATTTTATAATTTTTTCAATTTTTGGCATTTTTTTATCTTTTATCTTTTTTTTTTTGTGCCTTGCCTAAAAAAGAGTGTGCCTCGCCTTGCGCCTCAGACACAAATTGACCCTTGCGCCTTTTTTGTGTCTTGCACTTTTAAAACACTGGTCATTATCCAAGGAACAAGTCATTGACTGCATACTTATTAAAGTCGTACATTGGCTAAAATCAACTAAATTATTCAAAGATTATTCAGTTGAGGACATTTTCAGAGGATGGTCAGTAGTGGCACTGTAGAAGAAGCTAAGTCTGTGCGAGTCTTGCTGGAGCACCGAAGCTGCAACTGTAGAAGAAGCTCTCCCCCTTTCGGCTAGTGCTAGGACTGCTGAAATCAGTCCTCAACTAGGTCTGTCCTAYACAGACCTCTCTTAGTAGCCMAATAGCTACTATTYGCTGGARATAAYCTAGTAGGACATCTACTTCTGGGTCTTACTTCCCTTGAGTCYTACAACCAAGAGAAACCCTAGGTTCGAACTTGCTTTACTCTCTTGCACCCCTAGGTCTTCACTGCAGCAACCCAGAAAAGGAAGAGAGAAGATGAAAAGACGGCAAGAGAAGAGAGTGTGCGCCGGCTGAAACCAGGAAGAAGCTAATGCTCTGATACCATGAAAGCTAAACTACTGTAGCCGAAGTAGCAGAAAGGAGAAGAAGAAGAAGAGATGCTGGAATGTCGAACTGTCCTTGCCAGTCGACCATGTTATTATTTATATTTGAATGTAGTACAAGATACAAGTAATTACTGGAATGCCCCTGATTAGTGATGGGACACCCAGTAACTTAAAACATTAAACAGGCTTAGGCTCATTAACACAGGCCCAGTTACAGGATAACTTGAACTTAAGTATGGGCTAATAAGAACTCTTATCAGCCAAACACTCATATAAAGAGACATCATTCAACATTCTAACAAATATCACTATACTCTGGCCCAATGGGTGTTGGAGATTCATTAAGATCTGAGGTTATGGCCTTCAAGGGTTGCAGATGGCCAAGCAATGGGGAATTCATAACTATGAGGTGGAGGGAGACTCTAAGCTGCTAATAGGATGGCTGCAGACAAAAAGTTTGGGGGTGTGGACATTTAGACAGCAGATGAGGGAGATTTTTTGCTTAGCAAGAGAAGCTGGAGTACTCTTTAATTGGACAAGGAGGTCAGCCAATGGTGTGGCTGATTCTTTGGCAAAGCAGGGGACCCAAAGGGAGAATCTTTTTTTTGGGCCGTGTTGGTCAACGTCATGCTATGAGTGGTTGACATTGTATGTTCTTTTTGTTGGTTTAATAAAAGTGACCTTTTCCAATAAAAAAATAAAAAAGTATCAACCTTTCTGGCATCATAAATTTACCCTTTCCTTTATTTAGAATTCAGCTTCATATAACACCAGTTTATCAATGTAATTGAGGTGATGATATTGAATAAACCTCATAGATAGGATGATATAGAATATAAATATGCAATAAATGAATGACATAGAACATTCAGATTAGATCTCTGTTTTGCAAACACGAGAAAGAAAGGCTGGAAGGAAGTTGCAAGTCTTGCTTTTCAAAGAAAGAGCGTAACCATGACTAGTTAAGGTATCCCTTGCTTGTGGCAACTCTGTACAAGCACACCAATGTTTGGAAGAAAACTTAAAAGAACCCCTTCTTGATTGTCTTCTTTATCTTGTGCCATATTTCTAATTGTCTATTTGATACATCGTTAACCAACCATATGCCATCATAAATACATAAAGCAACAAAATGCATATGACAAAGGAAAAGCATATACTATATTATTCTAAATAATTACTCATCAAAAAAAAATATTTTAAATAATTAGAGAAAATCACAAACAAATAAAGCTTTAAACTAACTTTTGGTTGACTAGTTGACCTAATCATTGCTTAGTTGTCCAGGTGACTGAATAATGAGTGTTGATTGACTGGCTAGTGATGATGTTATCCCTGAATTGCTATTTGGTTGACTAACCGATACTTTTATGACATAGTTTTAAGTAACAGAAATTCAATATATACCTGCTTGTCCCAATATGAATGGTAAGCTAGATTTCCCTTGCCTCCAAACCTTTAAACTAAAAGTACTCAAGGCCAACAATGCACTTCCAAAAAGAATCCCAGTGCTCAGAGTAGTGAGATTTCTTGAGAATAGAAAACCAACAATCCCTCCACTTAAAACAAGTCCACCTGTGACACAATCAAATCTGTAAATTTAACAAATGAGCTAAAACTTGATATTTACTTCATTTTACAAAAACAATGACAAATATCTATTTTGTAAAAATAATCATGGTAGCTTTTTTTTGTTACACAGGAATAAATCATGGCACAATTTGACCAAGAATTCTCTTTTTATTTTTTATGAAGATTTCACCCAAGAATTCAACCATTCAAGATGTGTTTTAACCTAAAGCACCATTCAAAAGCAAAGCACACAGTATGGAAAATATGGATAAATTGCATATTGTATAAGTTATAGGCTAGAAAGATAGAGAAAATGGCTAATGCAAAAGAAAAAAACACCTCAACAAATGCTTTCAATATTTTGCCCATTAAATGGTTCCAACAACAAGGATATATCTCAAGAGAATAGTTCCAAAGGATGATATTTGGATGGCTGAAATTTAAGCCTTTCCTTCTGTAAAGGAAAAATAATCAAACTTCAGGAACTACTCAGTGAGCCTTGAAGCGAATCCTGTGATTAAAGGAGTACATTCTATTAGCATACAATGCAAATTCAGTGCTTGTCACTGATGCAGAAGCATACTTACCGAAAGGTATTCCAAAACAGAAGTCATGGATCTTTGCACACCTTTTCTTTTGGATGACATCAGTTTCATTTAATGGTTCACCCATTCCTAGGTTTCCACCAACCTGTTCTTCTGGATTGGAATATGATTTTGTTGTTCCCTCTAGAGGTGACCTTGATGTGTCAGCTGTATACCTTAAGGTGGTTTTGGTCTCTGAACTTTGACGTTCTGTGCCACTTCCATCCAAGTGCATAGAAACTGACAACTGGATAAAAAGACTCCTTTCAGCAATTAGTACCACTTCATGTTATTTTCCATAAATATTTCCATGGAGTTTTTTTTTGATGAATAACTGATTAGTTCATTGAATTTAAAAGACAGAATACAAGAGAAAGTGAGAGAGAGACAAGCTCTCTTATCTCTCCCTTTTAACTTTCCATGGAGTTAACTGATCTAAATTTAAATTCAAGTTACTTGAGTATAACTGTCATGTAAACATCAACTGAGAAAGATGGGAGAAAAATATAATCAACAAGAGAAAGAACACGACCAGTGATTCTCATGTTAAGAGAATGTGATCATACTTCCATAGTACTACTAAGGTATAAAAAAGGCTATACAAGTACAAATAAAGAACTTCAAAGACTTCAAATAGCTGCAAAATAAATATTCAGAAATAAAAGCCCATTATCCCAACTTTGGTGAAACCATAACATAAAGAACAACCTTTTCACTAGTCTTTAAAAAAAATCTATCCACCTTCACTTTACCACTAATCATCTAGAATCTGTAACCTTTTATTTGCGACCTCCATGCATTCTAGCCAAGTAAAGCCAAGTTATTTTTCCTATTCAAGACAGAACAAAAAAAAAATGAAAGAGTGAAAATGGAAGAATTACTACAAAAATATATCTCCATTAATCATGAAATCCAGAGTCCAGAGATGCATAATATATGGTTGGACAGGCAAATTACAATGGCTGGGCTTGTCAAAAGACACCTTTCTTCCAATATTCTACTCTTATCTTGACCATCATCTGTAGAAGGATAGTGCAGTTCTTTATTTTATGGGTGTTGTCCTTGGATTTCAGTCTGAACACTGAGGTGCTGAAACATGAGCTGAAAGGTTAAATAAAGAAACACTTCAAAGAACTAATACAAATATGACCAATCCCTATAGAGGGTTAGAAGCTCTTGATGTGAAGGTTTAAGCAGCTCACTAGAAATGGTATTGTTTATATTGAAACTTGGTTCAGTATTTTTTTATTATTAGTTTATTTTGTAGAGCCAAAAGAAATTATTTTCTTATTAAGTAATCTCTAAGGAGGTGAAAAGAAATGATGAGGTGCTCAGGAAACAAAATTCTATTTTGGGAAGATATTTGGTGTGGAAACACTCCCCTAAAGGATAAGTTCCCTTCTTTGTATTCCCTTTCTTTGAATAAATTCAAGGTAGTCTCTTCCTTCCATGGGTCTGACCATTTGAGGGCTCCTGGAATTTGGGCCTAAGGAGGGGTTTGAGAGATTCAAAAGTGAGTAGTGCAGACGAGATGTTCTCATTGTTATCTTCAGTCTTCCTAGACCAGTCTTGTTAGGATAGTAGAATTTGGTCAGAATCCCCCTCAGGGTCTACACTAGTTCCACCAAAGGTTAGGGCTTGTCGTTGGGAAGTGGTGCTCGAAAATATAGAAACCTTGGACGTGCTTCAAAAGAAAAAAGCTAGATTGGTGTTTGTACCTTAACTCCTGTTGCCTTTGCCTAAGGAATGGTGAGAAGGTTGTAGACACCCCATTTTTGCACCCTTCAAGCTTCAAGCATGCTTCAGCTAACCTGGGGGCAATCTTGGATTTTTACAAAAGTTTGAACCTCAAGAATCCAAGGCCATAGGTACGTAAAGCCCAAAATTCCAGATCCAACAACACCAAGATCATCAAAATCCGACACCGTTTATCCCTTCATCTTAGGACTCGAAGCCAGAACCGATTCGGATCATTTAATCAGTCATTTTGATCATGAACCTCATTTCACATCAAATCAAAAATCCAAGACCATAGGTATGTAGAGCCCAAAAATCCAAACCCAACGTCACCAAGATCACTCAAATTTGACACCGTTTACTCCATCTTAAGATCCAAAGCCGAAACTGATTCCAATCGTCCGATCAGAGTCATTTTGATCCTGAACCTCATTTTACATCAAATCAGAAACCCAAAACCATAGGTACGTAGAGCCCAAAAATCGAAATCCAATGACACCAAGATCACTCGCATCTGACACTATTTACCCCTTCATCTTATGACCCCAAGTCGGAACCAACTCCGATCATCTGATTGAAGTCATTTTGGTCATGAACCTCATTTCACGTCAAATCAGAAACCCAAACCATAGGTACGTAGAGATTGAAAATCCAAATCCAACGACACCAAGATCACCTAAATCCAACACCATTTACCCCTTCATCTCAAGACTCAAAGCCAGAACCAATTCTGATCGTCCGATCAAGATCATTTTTTATCCTGAACCCTATGGCACGTGAAATCTGAAATCCAACCTTGTAGATGGATAGAGCTTGAAATTTCGAGTTCAAGGGTACTAAGATCATCCAATTCCAACACCATTAACCCCTCCATCTTGAGACTAGAAGATAGATGCGATCCAGGCCTTCCGTTTGGAATCCTCTTCAATACAACTTCAAACCTAGGGCACCCCACGATAGGGGTGATCATTTCAGCCCGACCCGGAAATTCCGGGCTTGGGCCTGGGTTTTGTGTTTAGGATCGGCCCGAGCCCAAGCCCATATCAGGTTCGCAAATTTTAGGGTCAGGCTTGGGCTTAATACTTCAAGCTCGGCCTGGGCCGGGCCTGGCCCGCATATATTTAAATTTACACATTTTGTGTATAATGTATACATATGTATACATGTTATTTTACGTTATATTATATATTTTATATATAAATATTATAACATGACATGTATAATTTATATTATATGTAATATTTTATATTATATAATATATAAAATAAAAGTTTATATGCATGTTATGTCATTTATCATAAAATATTATAGATATATAATGTTTTATATATGAAAGACATTGACTCGAAATCAGGCCTAGCCTGGCCTAGGCTCGTGTAGACCTGGGCTAAGGCTTATGTTATAGGCCCAGAACCCCGGCTCGGGCCTAAGCTTTAGCCTTTATCATAAGTGCAAAGCCCGGCCCGGGCCCGGCTCGGCCCGGCCCTTGATTACCCCTACCCCACGATCAGATTTTTCTCCTAGACTCTGGAACCATCTTAAAATTTAAAATTTAACCAGCTAATGAGCCTTCAATCAATCAAGCCAATCACCTAAACTTGGAATATCCAATTTAGGTAAATTGGTGAAATTTTCCTCTTATTATCTTGATTGATTGAGAGGATCTCTCCAAAAGCTGTCTTGACAACCCATTCCCTTGATCAATCTCCCTCCAAAAGTTCTTTAAACCTCAGCCATTGATCTCCCTAGCTTTTTTTTATCAATAATTGATCTCCCTAGTTTACCAATCTCAACCCTCCATTCCCTTCTAGAATCCTCCCCAATCTATAAATACTCCATTTCCTCACTCACAAACACACAATCTAGCTCAGGGAGAGAATTCTACCCCCATTAGCCTAGAGAATACCCCTCTTCACGTCCCAAATCCCCCCCACTCACTCTTCAATGTCCCTTGAGTTTCCCTATATCATTTTGAAGTCAAGAAACCCCTTGGGGTCATATACACATTGAAGAGACGAAGCTGAAAGCATTCTTAAAGCAACACAATACAATAAAAGTGATATCCGATCCAGCAGTGTTTTCTCACATCTTGGGCTACATAACCAACGTCATTAGCCCTCCAAAATGAACAAAAATTCATCCTAAATCTTGGGGGGTTCTCAAGGAGCAAAAGGTATTCAAAGAAGTGCAGCAATTGTGTGGCAAAATGAGGTTGATGGTTTTGGTTGCATGTTTGAAAATTGTTGAATGTAGCAATGAAGGAGTTAAGGCATTAGAAATCAACCAAGATATGATACTTAACGACTTACCAAGCAGCTTGTTTGATATTCGGTTCTTTTCTCCTTTTCTTAATTTCTTGTTTTTTTAAGTAGTTGTATAGGATTAAACAACGAATTTTGTTGTTAAGATCTCTACGTTTCTTGTTGAATGTGCATCACTAGTATTTGAAGTTTCTATTATTCGGTTAGTTTAATAGTTGCGGTGGCTCTTCCTTTTATCTTTGTAAACAAGTTTCTTTTTTTTTCCTTTCATCATTTCTTTCTTCTCCCTTAATTAGAAACATCGTCACCTACCTAATCCCATAGGGAAGTTTTGACATCGTTAGAAAAGAAATTGTAACTATCCTTCATCATGTAGTTAAGCACCCAAGTAGGACCCACTTCAATTTAACAACCACCATTATGCTTCCCTTTCTTTCCTATTCATTTAGATTTTAGTCCCGTTGCATTTATTTATTTTTTTAATCTTTGCATTTTGCATCACGTTAGAAACAAATGAACTACTTTTTTGCATTTGCATCACTTTAGAATTAAATCTGTCATGCCATACTTGTATTGGTATTAGTTTTATCATAATTTGCTATTAGTTTGTTTGTTTGTTTTTTTTTTTTTTGGTCTTAATCCCCATTAGCAACCCATTTAGTAATCGGTCCCACCATATTCATCTATGATCTCTTTGTTAGTTTTATTCCAAGTCATTTGTTTTCATTAGGAATTTAAATAAAAAAGTTTTATCTTCATTTTCCTTGCATTAGAAACTGGGGTGCTACTCTAATCCTCCTTTAACAGTCCCATGCTTGATATTTTAGATGTATCAATTCAACCAATATTCTCCATTAACTTGGTCTTTTTTTTAAATAGCTGCATCAGTTTTTGTTTTAATGTTTTTTTAGTCCTTGGTGAATTAATAGAGTGGTTCGTTTCAGTCATCTAGTTCTTTAAAAAAATTGTCATTTGTTCACTAGTTTGCATAGATCGATTCTTGTCCCTTCTTGTCCTAGTTTAGCTCACCATCACTTAGCTTGTCCACCATTTCTCTAGTTTTTTAGTTGTTTTTCTGGTTTGCTTCCATTAGTTTGTCAATTGTTTAAAGTATTCAATCACCACATTTAGATGCTATACAATTATTTAATTATTACAATTTCAATTGTTAGCTTGTCATAATGTTATATTTTCATTCATTCTCATTTAATTTTATAATTCCTCATTAAATCATGTTAGTGTGTGTGAATTAAATTTCAAGCCCAAAATTATGAAAATTTCCTTGGAACATTGGTGAAGTAGAGGCCAGTTTAATCAGGCGCATGTGAGGTGCCAAGCACCTTCCTACACCGTACCTTGGTCCCCAGACCCTAAGAATCTCATCCCCATTGGGAAACGAGTCACTAAGAAAACATAAATTGTTTTTCTTGAAAAATCTTGGGTTTTCCTAAATTCCCAAAAATTTAGGTGGTGACTCACCTACATTTGGGACTGTTTTTCTTCTCTTTTTGGTTGTAGCTGGAACCCCTCATCATGTGTGCTAAGCCTTTTTGACCCTAGCTTTTTCCTTCAACCAAAGAAAAGGGGTAGGGTGATGTGGAGAATAACAAGAGCAGCTGTAATTTGGTCGGTTTGGGAAGAAAGAAACAACATGATCTTCCAAGGGTAAGAAAAATCAAAGGAAGCAATTGTTGAGGGCATCACCATCACAATTTTATATTGGCTGAAAATTCTGCAACTCTTCAAGGACTTCTCTTATCATGATTTGATTAGAGGCTATAGTACCATAGCTACTTCCTCCTCCACTTCTCATATAGTGCAGGAGAGTTGGTCCCCTTCTCTACAGGCTAGAGTGAAGCTGAATTTTGGTGGGTGTTCTCTAGGCAATCCAGGTCCGTTAGGCATTGGGAGAATTTTCAGAGATGACGAAGGAAAAGTGTTGGCCCTCTTCTCGGGTCCAATTGGGATGGGAGACTCACTTCGGGCAGAAATAAAGGCCTCACTACAAGGTCTTAGACTGGCTAAGCAGTGGGGTATCCAACAGATAGAAGTGGAAGGTGATTCAAAACTGGTAATAGGCTGGATGCAAGCAAGGAAGTTAGGTGCATGGCCTTATAGACAACCGTTAAGGGAAATTTTGTACTTAGAGAGGGAGTTAAGGGTTCAGTTTATGTGGAAAAGAAGATTAGCAAATGGAATGGCTGATGTTCTAGCAAAGCAAGAAGTAAATAGGGGGGCTTTATTTTGGGATTGCTTGTATACTTTTTATGCTTTTGGTCTTCTTAGCCATCCTTAGGGTGGTGACAGCTTTACTTTTTTATTCTTAATGAAAGTTACCATTTCCTATAAAAAAAAAGGTAGCATGTCTATGCTAAAAGAATCTATTTGTTTATTAAGTAACTTTCTAAACATGGTTGTCAAGGAAACACCTAGGAGACTGGGTGGTTTTAGATGGTCACGATCACACAGTAGGTTTCATAAAAGGCGCTTGCCCAACTTTTTAAGCACTCGCCTATGTGACAAGGCAGGCACCTAGGAGACTAAGATAACTGCACAGGCAGTTATTAGCACTTTTATTATCTATTTATTCAGTGATTTACAGGATTTTCAGAATCCAGTTAACTCAAACCACTACTGGACTCAGCAGTTATAGAAACCCATTAAAGAGTGTTATAAACTCGGCTGGTTCATTGGTCTACATAAGTATTTTATTTGCTTACCAAAATGAAAATGCAATGCAAAGACTGAAACCTTCATAGGCATAGAGATTAAGACAAAGACTGTCAAGCCATGTAACAGATATGTGTCTTATAGATCATAAAATGTACTATATAGGGTTATATACATACTGAGCTTTATAAACTAAATGCAGAACTAAACAGTTAATTATGACATCATAGGTAATTAGGTTGGCATAATGGTTTGATGACTGATCCATTATCCATTACCTAGATGGGTTTGTGAATGGTCCAGATTTGACAACATTTGCTGCTGTATTTTCCCCAACAGTTTTTTTTTCCACAAAGTACATTTTTTCTCTTCTTTTAATTGGTCATGTTATGGAGGCTTCTAACTTTCATTCCAAGATATGTTATGGCATGCTTAAAACTGTGTCAATACATGTATAGATCCATCTGCAGGTTGACATGTGTCAAAAAAATCCTACTCATTGTAAGTAGCAATTTCCTCCAAATCAAAGTTGATACCTAGCTCTTGATCATCCAGTATACCTAGTCTTAGTACCCCATTATAATCAACTCTTGAAATTCATCCCTTTATGGGCCCATCACTCATTGAATTAGTAGACTTCATAATTAAGCTGATCAAGATGTTCAGATTGGAACCAGGGATATGGGCTCTCTTTGTAAGTATCTGAATCTCAAAAACCTGCTAAACTCATTTATCAGATACCTGATTAAAGCCTAAGAATCACTCCACCACAAGCCATTCAAACCCAAGGGGACTCAAACCCTGCAGCCCTGGAGCAAGGCTAAGAGCTCCTCTTAAGGTCCCAAGGGAACACTCACTCTCCCTCCCTCCCTCCCTTCCTTGTTGTCCTTGGAAACACCAACAACCTTGGACTTTCCATGGTTACCTTCTTCTCGTTGGTAGCATCTCCAAGGGCATGTTTGTTAGGTAAAATGGAATGGAATTTAAGTTTATCATAGTAATAATTCGCCAATTAAATGCTTATTCAAGCTTTCACAGAAAATATCAAAATCAAATCCATCTGCAAATGTTCTCTAATATGCATAAGTTTTACTCAATTTGAACATTTCATCTTGTTTGGAGTTCAGATTCCATCCATGCTTAATTTGATGAAGACGCATCCAGGGGCTGTATAAGTCTATATGCTTTTCACAACTGATGAAATTATTAACATTTAACTACATCCTCAAAGCACTATGTTGCACAAACCATACATCTATGGCCTTGAACAATTTCCTCCCCATTTATCAAAATAAAAAAAAAAAAAACAATTTCCACCCTCTTAGTTTTTTAATTTAATTGGAAATTGGCTCACTGATTGCAAATATAGTGATGCTGTTAAACCTCATAACCAGTGCTATCTAATTTCTCTGACGGCAGCAATTTCATTGCTATGCCATAATTTCACCTAAGTTCACATCCCTGATAAAGGAGCAAACTAAGCATGACGAACTATAAAACAGTTCAGTGAAGGTAACAAAACCAAATCACGCTAAAATTCCAACGAAGATATAACCAGTTATACACTTATCAGTTAGACTGTTCGCAAATTCCTTGCGGTTCAATTACGACTAAATTTCTTCAACTTTAGATGTTCACACTGGCGTCAATTATTCCATGAGAAATCAGTTGTTTAGGCTTAATTTTATTCAAGACCATTAATTGGAAGAAAAATGAAATAAAGAAGGTAATTAGGGTTAGAAAGCACAGAAAGGTACCTTGGAACGAAGAATTACAGGTGGGATTGATAGCTTCCGCAGCTGGAGTTTGCGACTGATTGAGGAGAAGCATGAAATCTGAGAGATTGCGGAGCTCATGATGATGGTGATGTTCCTGGCGACTCAAAAAAAGGTCGTTTCAGATCGAATTAGGAACTGAAATCCCCGAGCAATAGACCTCACCGCGGCGACTGGTCTCCGGAGTCTGATCAATCACTGGGGTTAAGCTCATGCCGTGCAAATTACGTCTCATTCACATTCATGAGTCAAAGCGCTCGCTTGTTGGCATGTAATCGGATCGGATGTATGTAAATCCAAGTTCGATCCAATTAAGAACTGTCTCCTCCGAATTCGACCCCAAATTTGATCGGATGCATGGCGCATGGGTCTATGGGAAGTGGATTCGAGTTCGAATTCCATCGGATTTTGGATTTTCATCCGACACTCCGAGTTCGATTGCATTTTCACACAGGCATAAGAAGTTAAGAACAAACATAATACAAGGCCGCAGGGTGATGGGAAAAGACATTTCTTTTTACCTATTCACCCTTTAACTTTTAAATAAATTACATTCGTTAATGGTCAAGGCCTCAAGGTTATTTGATTAACACGTAATGAATCCAATGATAAATATACTAACCCAATAGGAGTCCGTTTTTTCTTTGATCAGATTGGGGTGCATTCGAATTCGATTCGATTGGTAAATCGGATTATAGTTGCTCCATCCGAATTCAATCAATTAACGTAAAAAGCCCATCCGAGTCCGAGGGTAATTGAATCGGGCGTTGGATTTTCGGATATCATTGACATTCAGCGCTCAGACACCACGTGGTACACTTGTACCTGCGACCGGGGGTTTAACTTCCACACAAAAGGCCTTGAAAAGTAAAAAGTTCCGTGAGATCTTCAATTGGATGGTCCAAAACATAGTGTCATGGTTCAGGCAATCTAAGGTGGGAACAGTGTTGCCAACTCCGTGTTCCGGTTCGGGGTCACACGATCCGCATCGAGTAACGCGTACCTGGTTAGGTTAGCTCACACCTCGAAGCGTAAAGCAACGTTTTCGGACCGTTCGGACCGGAAACCGGTCACTTGAACGGTTCTGGGTTTACCTCAAACCGTCAATTAGGAAAAAAACTTTGAAAAAGTCAAAAAAACCATCGACCTGGCCGGTTGAACCATCAACCCATTTGACCCGAGCAATGCTTAGCAGTTTGGTATTTTATAAATTTTGTTTTTTATTTTATTTTAAAATAAAAATAACAAAAAATAAAATGACAAATATATCCTAACATCAAACCTTCTTACCTTCGAAAGTCTTAGCCTCTTAGGGTTTTGTTTTGCCAAACCCAAAACCAAAAGCCCCTTGCCCCCTTTAGGCGTTCGTCGAACATGACGGCGGTGATACATTGGCATCGCCCTTCCCAAAATCCGAGCAAGCACCCGCCGGCGACCAAAGTTGTAGTGGCAGATGGCGGCTAAAGCTTCAACTTCGAGTCTTTCACTCTTTCTCAACCGCATCTTGAAAGGAATGGCTCCGACGACTATCTTCGTTGCGGCTACTGGCGACCACTGTGATTTTTTAAGTAACTAAGTGAGTTGACGACCACTGTTCGGTTCAGAACCACCATTATTCAGTTCAGAACTTTAGATTTCAGTTCTTATCTCTCATTTAGCCATTTTAATGATTTTTAATCAACTCTTTTTTTTTTTTTTTTTTTTGCAATGCTATTACATCAAGAGTAGTTTCAACTGAGGTTTGAACCTTTTGGAGCTCAGGATAAAGTTATTTTTGTTGGAGAGGAGTTTTTTTTTTTTTTTTTGCAATGCTATGATTTTTCAAGGAACCAAACCACCATTTGCGTTGGTGACCACTCCATGGGAGCTGAGAGCCACTACAAAATTTAAGGTTGAGGCATCCCCTATTTTTCAATTTTGATTTGAAGCTTAAACTGGTATATTTCTTTCTTATTTTAACTTTTGATGCTTAAAGCCTTAAAATCTGGAATTTAATATTCTATATAATGCATCTTGCATTGTTAGTACTTGGTAGTAATAATTCTAAAACAACATAGAGAAACAAAATTTTTTTGTCACATTTAGTTGGTATACTCTGTAAAATTCTCGGTTGTAAAATTTTTCAGTCAAAAATGCGAGGAGACTCTTTAGCTAGTTTTCTGAAATCTAAATGCTCAAGAAGACAAACTACTTTAGTGGTTTATGCCTGATTTCATTTGAGTTGCTTAATAGTATATATTTTAGTTTGAGCAGACAAACTACTTTAGTGGTTTAAGCCTGATTTCATTTGATTTGTTTAATAGTATATATTTTAGTTTATGAGTTTAATTTTTGGTTGTTTAGCTATTTTACAATTTTATTTTTGGTTGTTTAGTTGAACTGTGTAATCATATATTCATATATTTTAGTTTCATTGGTTGTTTAGTTTAATTTTTGGTTGATGGGTGTTTGTGATTCTTATGTTGAATAGAGATGGAAAGAAGCACAAATAATGATCAATTTGATCTACAACCAACAACAGAGTTTATCTTCTCAAATGTTAGGGCCCTTAAAGTAGATCCTATTAGTGGAGCAAAGTCAATAACATGCATGTATTATCAAAAAACTTTTAAAGGGGGAGGCATTAATAGGATAAAACAACATCTTGCACAAAGAAAAGGAGAAATTGTAGTTTGTCAAAAAGAACCATATGATGTTAGGTTTAAAATGGAGCAATTGTTAAATGGAATTATTGAAAAGAAAAAGACTTCTAGCTCTGAATTTGGTTTGGATGGTGCTGAAACAAGTGATGATGTTGATGTTAGGGAAGTGCATCCATTTGGTACAAATGGAGAGAATTTGAGGAGTAATCAAGGGAAAAGTCAAATAAACCCTTATAGCCTGTTTGGTTGCTACGACGCGGATGAGAAATATGGAACATTTGGGTTAGATTCTTTGAAACCTGTGTTTGTTTGATGGAATGGTGTGAGAAACGATGGGATATCACATTTCAAAAACTGGGATGCGGGGTCTCACTAAAATGGTGAGACCTCGATGAGAAAAGAAAAACTTGCGACTCAACACCCTGTGACAGCCACCACAACACCAAACAGAACATGCCTCTAAACACCAAATGGTTGCCTAACCATTTTGAACAACACCAGACTAAACTCCCAATGGCCATCGTGACTCACCCACCATTTCAATTGACGACCAGGTTTCCGACCCCCAAATGCTTCTGTTGAACACCATTCTGATGCCAAAACCAACGGTCATTAATGTAATTAACCAATTTCCGATCCCCAAACTGAACATCCTCACATCAATTCCATCTCAAAAGAAAAGAAAACTAATGAAGTAATAGGCAAAAACCTAGAGGAGATCAGAACTTGTAGCACAAAGAGAGAATGTGTGTGTGTGTGTGTGAGAGAGAGAGAGAGAGAGAATGGGCGGGGAGATCAATAACTTCATCAAGGTATGGATCTTAGTTTTAGCATCTTTAAGCTTCCGTTTCATCTGTCTCTCCGATCCATCCGTCTCTCTCTTCCGTTTCATCTCCTTAGCCTATTTTTCTATCAAAATAAAAAAACAAAATCCATCGAAGGAAGACGATGAACAAAATCCATTTAGCCAAGCAAGTAGGCTTGTCAATGATACTTGAAATTTCATAACTTGATCCGATTATTATATATTTAGATGAAGTATTTATGTAATCAAATTTGGATTTTGCAATCTGCATCCAATTAATATCCAGAATTGCCACGTGCAAAATAGGTGCATGCTAACTAGTATATTATAGTGTGCATGTGTGCAACACATGACCCATGCCCTCAAATAGTTTTGACCAAATGGTAGATTTTACTAAAATCGAACATTGAATCATGGTTAAGTGATGGTTTAAACGGTTTAACTGACCAGGACAACGATGATCGCTTAATAATCAAATTAGATGTGTTTACATAAAATCAAATCAAATCCATCAGGTCAATGGCCCAAAAGATGTGTTTACATAATTGAATTGGACTTAGATTTTGCAATCTACATCTGATTAATAATTGGATGGGATTTGAATTTGGCTCCATTTGATCCGATTAAAATCCGAAATTGATTATATTATATTATAATATTTATTCATTTTAAAATATATTAAAATTATAAAAAAATTCTTATATTATATTATATAAATATATATGTATTTATAAAAAAATTTAGTATATTATATTTATATTAACTTTTTATTTTATTTTTGTATTTTACAAAATTAAAGTGGGGTCGGATTGTATTTCGTTCTATGAAGCAAATGACTTGAATAGGGGAGACCTTTTCTTACGAGTACTCTCTCTTTCTCTAATATTCTTTTCCTCACCGATTCACCCTCTTCCCTTTGTCACGGATTTTCTTTCTCTGCCTTCGCCATTTTCCATTTGCCTATGTTTTTCTTTGTGCGCCACTGTCATTTCATTCATCATTTAACGAATGTTGGTAGACTACTATTTTACCCTTTGTTTTTGTTGTAAATAAAGCAAAGATAATAAAACAACAAAAATATATCTTAAATATTTCCATCTAAAAATTTTTCTGCCCATTTTGCATATTTAAGTAAAAAGGGAATTTAAAGAAAAAAAAGAATGCTTTTGATTCAAATCAAACTCATATAACGCTCCATATCTACTTGCATACCACAACTGTCATTTTATACCTTTTAATTTCAAATGCAACAAAAAGCAAGATCAAGAAAAAATCTATGGTCAAGAAGAAGACACATGGCTTTGTAGGATCTATCATCCATTTCTATCAGATATCAGTTAGAACAAATGTGTATTGAATAAAAATTAGACTGACATAAAAATATATTTAATAAGGCTGACATGCCATTTAGGTGCAGTTTGATCATAAAAATTGCGATGTGCACAACTTATGTCAATGAACACTAATAGGGGGTGTCAATTGGACTGGATTTGGTTCAACCCGATCCAGTCCAATGTGAGCCCATTATAAATGGACCAGGTCCAATCCAACCCAATGAATATTTTGGATCAATTTGGACCGGTCCAATTCAATGTCTAGACCATCCAATTTGTTCAAATTCATTTTGATTTAGATTGGTTTCAACCCAAACTTGGTCCATTGGCACATATATTCTTATCTTATATCAATAAACCAGATATTGTCTTAATCCAACATAAATTTGTTAAGGGCGGACCAAGTCCAATCCAATCTAATAAATATTTTAGACCAGATTGGTCCAATCCAATATGTCTTGTTGATCCATCCAATCTATCCAAATTGATTTTGGATTGGACGGGGTCCAATCCAAAACCGGTCCATTGACACCCTTAAACACTAACACTAACACTAACAGATAGTTAATTTTGAAAAACAAAAAGTCACTGACAAGGGATTCCTTATGATGAATTTAAAAGAAATGCTGAGTCATAGTTTGTGCACATTCCATCTTTGTTTATAGAGGATAAACAATGTTAAGGCTGGTAATCCTATATCTAAATTTGATCCTTCAATATTTAAATTCATGTTGTACTCAGGTGGAACTTAGCTAATAAATAACATTAATGAATTGAATTAAAACGATTAAAATATCATTTATTATCAACATAATGATCTGAAAATTAATGACTTCGATATTGCGTATCATGAATAAAATGATTTGAAAATAACTTCTAGGAGGGAGACCTTTTCATATGGCGCCATGGATAACTTCTACAGGCTTGAACCTATGACTTTTATATATTTTATTTTTGAATCCCAAAGGCTGAACCAGTCATTTATCATTCCAGATTGCATCTCAATATCTCATCCATGAGTAATGACTCTAAAAAAGTGGATCATTCAAAGATTCTGTCTTATCAAAATGAGCTAGCCCGTGAGCTGGATCGAAGAGTATGAAATATATAGAAGACAGGATGATGATTCCGATCATAAATGCATTAAATTAGAAATTGTCTTTAGTCAAAAATTTGAACTCGAAATTGGACAAATTGATCAATTTGCAGAAACAACCTCAACTAAAACTTTTATTGATGCCAATGTGCCTTGATTATCAAAAATAGGATGTGTCCAAATCAATCAACTATTACAAATTAGAAACAAATGGAAAGTGTTAGCCTTGTTAAAGAATTCATACAAGCCACCCACTTAGACGCAATATAATATTAAATATACATTGCAACTCATTTATTTCTCCACTTTCAAGAGCATAAAAATCAGCCAAAAAGATGTATTATAAGCTGTTTGTTAACCAGTCATGAAAAAGAATAATTTATTACAAAATTAGGGTAAGTTTAAGAATAAATATATATAACTTGTAGCTGATTCTGATGCTTTGAAAAGTAGAGAAAGTAAAGGGTTGTAGGGTGTATTTATTGTTGCTACTATTGCCCAGCAATGCACTTGTTAAAGCAATCCAACCACAAAATCAAATAAATATGCATGTATGGGAGATTTTTTTTGGGCAAAAGCATGAGAGACTGAGGGTCTGTTTGGTTTGCAATTGGAATTGAAATCCTTTGGAATCAGAATTGGAATGATTTATTCCTATAGTTTGTTTGATTCAGACATGAATGAAAATGAAAATTGGAATCAGTAGAAATGAGATTTCATTCCCAAAGGAGGGGTAGGGAATGGCCATTCCCTCAAATGGGGGGAATGCCATTCTAACAGGAATGAGAATTCTAATTAATCAAACAGTTGGAATCGGAATAGCCCATTTCAATTCCGATTCCAGACCCCTATATAACTGCGAACCAAACAGGGCTTGAGTGTGTTTAAGAATAATAGAAAGAACTAAATTATGGTCAGCCTGAAAGGATGTGCTGTGTTGTGCCTTGAATTCATGGTTGTGACGTGCTCCATGACCCACAACTTTTATTTGTGAAGGAAAACCCAAAGGCTGTGTTTGGAAACAATGCAAATAAGTGTGAATGCAAATATGTAGAGTGTAAAACGGTCCATTTAAATTGCAAAGTTGGGTTAGTTTTGCATTGCCAAATTTACCTTCTTACGAAACAAACTTTTAGCTGTAATGGATACAAACACGAAAACAAAGCATATGTTTTTTTTTTTTTTTTATATTAAAAGCCCACTTGAATGCAAATTTACTTCTTTTTTATTATTGATGTACTTTTACATCTTATTATTAATGTAAATATGTATTGGAAAATGTGTTTTCTGGCATTTGTCAATGCATAAATGTAATGTTTCCAAACACAGACAAAAGTGAATCAGAGTGCAAATTTACCCTGAACCGGGACTTACACTCCATTTGCATCGTTTCAAATTTGGTATTAAGGATCAGTTTGGAAGGAGTACAAATGCAAATTTGTAGAGTGCAAATACATACAAAATAATACAAATTACAAGGTTTTACCCTCTACAAATTTGCATATGTATTCCTTCCAAATTGAGCCTAAGGAAAAAAAATTCAATTAGATCTATTGTGAATGTGGAGGGTCCGATATACCTTAAGGCTTAATTTGGAAGGAGTACAAGTAGAAATATGTAGAGTGCAAAACCTTGTATTTTGGATATATTTGTACTGTTCATATTTGTCTTTGTGCTCCTTTCAAACTGAGCCTTAAAGGGTATAAATACAAATGTGTAGAATGCAAAACTTTACATTTTGTATTATTTTGTATGTATTTATACTGTATATATTTGTATCTGTACTCCTTTCAAATTGATCCTGAGAAAAGGGTTTTAGGCGTAAAGGGTGCTAGGGTTTGAGAGACTCTGTTCATACTTGTGTTCCATTAATTATTGATTATAATGGATTTCTACTCCTCACATGGGTGTAGATATAAGGCCGAACCATGTTAAATCTCTTTGTGTTGTTGAGTTGCTCTATTCTTTTCATATTTTCTTTCTATTTACCAATCCGATTTAGATCTTGGGTTGCTATTTCGTAACAGAGTTGGGCATATAGCCTCATGGGCCATGGCCAGCTTGAGGGGTGTGGACTTCAAAGCCCTTGGAGTACTGGATTAAATGGTCAAGGGTTGAAGACTTGGATGGAATTCAGAACAAGGCAACCTATCTCCTTTTACAAAATTATCATGTAATTAATTATCCATTCTTAATTCCAAGATTTCTCGAACAAACTTTGCTTCGAAGTTCAAACATTTGACCTTGGAATTTGGACCAATTCCAATAACTGCAACTCTACTTCAAATGTTTGGATAATAAACTTCTCTATTTCCAGTTTTCCACATCCAAATGTTTGGACCACCTCCACTGACAAAAATATAAGAGATCAATTCCGCAGTCTTACATTGAACGAAATAATGGAGAATAAAAAAGACAAGTTCCTATAGTTGTAGCCACCGAAGGGCTGATTAAGAAAGATTCCCTACCATCAATCATCACTTCCATTATTTTTCTTTAATTATTGAAGCTTCTTGGCTGCCCACCGAGTTAATAAATGCACAACTTGAATGAACTTGTGATGGACGTCAAGCGTGGAAGCTAGTAATCTGGTAGACTAGTCAATTATCTTGTAGAACATGGCCCCATCATCTCTGGATTGATCTTATGGAGCTGTATTTGAGGGTGCTTTGTATAATCCTACTATGCTCAACACCACAACATGTTGGTCAGTTGGTGCTACATAGAGGGATCTCTTCTCTCTATATATATGAGAGCTACATGTCCATTCTCATCACACAGGGCGATTTAGAGCAAATTTGGTGCTTCAGTTTGCAGGAAGCTGACATTGCTTTGAAGTGGAAATATAATTCTCGAGACAAATATTTCCGAACAATGGCAGGTATACTTCTTGAGCTTATTCCTTATCTCTATGTTTTGTTAAGTGGGTCTCAGTAATACAAACCGTTCTATCTATTGGTGTTCAAATTCGTCTAATTCCTTGCTAAATCACAATCTATAGGTGTTTGCTATGGAATGCTAGGCAACAATTTACCACCCCCAAATGAAGCTGTGGATCTCTTTCAGAGAAACAACATTCGGAGGATTAGGCTTTATGCTCCAAATGATGCTGTCATTCAGGCGCTTAAAGGCACCAACATTGAACTGATGCTGGATGTCCCAAACAATGAACTTCAGCGCATAGCATCAGACAATCTCACTGCTGCCTATGACTGGGTCTACTACTATATTGTGAACAACAGGGCTGATGTGAAGTTCAAATACATTGTTGTGGGTAATGAAGTAAGCATGAATGACTGGAGATATGTCCTTCCTGCCATGAAGAACATTTACAGTGCAGTTCAATCAGCTGGCCTACAAGACCAGATCAAGGTTTCGACTGCGATTTACTCAGCAAACCTCAGTGATAGTTATCCTCCCTCCAGATCAGTTTTCAGAGGCGATTTGCTGCAATACCTACAGCCAATTGTTGGCTTCTTGGTGGAGAAAAGGGCACCATTGTTTTGCAATTTGTACCCTTATATCAGTTATCTTGAGAACCCAAGAGATATTAGGCTTGACTATGCCTTGTTTACTGCTCCATCGGTTCTTGTATGGGATGGCCAGTATGGATATCAGAACCTCTTTGATGCCCTGCTGGATTGTGTCTATGCTGCACTTGAGAAGGTGGGTGGATCCTCTGTGGAGGTGGTTGTATCTGAGAGTGGTTGGCCGAATGCAGGTGATTTTGCATCGACTACAGAAAATGCTCAAACTTATTTGAACAAGTTGATTCAACATGTGAAAGGGGGTACTCCTAGAAGGCCTGGTAGGCCCATTGAGACTTACATCTTTGCAATGTTTGATGAGAATGCCAAGACTGGACCAGAGAGGGAGAGACACTTTGGGCTATTCACTCCATATAAGCAACCCAAGTACAACATCAATTTCTACTAAGAGCCTATAAATGGGTGTTGTGTTCTGATCTTGAATAATATAATAGATGGGGCCAATGAGGCCTCTGTTTGTTTTATCTTAATTCTGCCATTTCTTTGAGATTATGTATTGAAATAAAGCCCATTCAGAAGCTTGTAATCTTTATAATGGTTTGTCTTTGTTTTTGTTATTGTTAAAATTTAATCTTTTAGGCCCTCGCTTTTCGGTAAGTTACTTACTTTATCCATGTTCTTTTATTTCCCAGGTAAATAAGACAATGACCATTTTAGTCATAAAAATCTATTATTAAATCAGGCATTTTTGTCCCATTCAAGTGTTGGCAACTTTTCCCCCAGGTGGGAAATTTCCCACCTGGGAGATGGGTATTAGAAAAATAAAATTTCCCTAATCCTCACATAAATCTAAAAAAAAGAACATGGGTTTCTTGATCAATGGAATTAAAATCTCATTGATCAACTCCCCCCCTCCCTCCCCCTAAATATCCAAAAAAAGAAAAGAAAAGAGTGGCCCCTTATATTTATCATTTGGTGAGTCTGTATGATTGCCACAAAATGACCCAAGCTTTATTGTTGGGATACATTTCATATGTTTTCTATATAAAGTAATATTTATTTGTCACAACTCGTTATATGGTGCTTAAAAATTACAAATTACTACCATATACTTTAGGAGTAGTGACATTACCCTCTGAACTTTTATTTGCAACCAAGACCTTCCTGAACTTTCAGATTCCAACAAAGACCTCTTCTCTATTAAGTTGAGTGATAGAAGAAGTTAATTTACCAAAATAACCACTCAAGAAACTTGTATATAAAATGGAAATTGCAACAAAAAAAAAAAAAAAACAAAGAAACTTCTATGAAAATCTAGATTTGCAACAAATACAACATGCAATTAATATCAATTAAACTATTAACAAATGAAAATTGAAAAAACACTAAAAAATTAGTTGGAAAAAGGATAGTATGGGGATTTATAGAAGTTCAAACAGTCACATGAGAATTTATTTTTCAAAGTTAACTGATAGAATGCTAACGGAGGAGGTCTTTATTGGAATTTGAAAGTTTGGGGGGGTAATTGTCACTACCCCCAAAGTACAGGATAATAATTTGTAATTTATCTTAAAAGTTATTAGCATTATTAAATATTAACATTACAAAACTGAAAAGGAAATAGATAGAAGTTAGGCCAGATCTATGGTGCATCAACTACGTACGTTGTGAAGCAAAAAACTTGAGCCTGACAATGTTACAGTTGAATCTTTAATTTTGTTAAAATCTTTAATGATAAACACACCTTGTAAAAATATGAAATAATGAAAAAAATAGAATGTGATGATATTTTTAAGTCCATGGATATTTGTTGTACATCAGAATGGATAATACATCCCTAAACCCCAATCCCTTATTTTGATAGGCGTTATCATTGATTCCACTAAACAGCTATAAGGTTCAGCTAATTTGAATTATGATTATGGGGTATATGTACTTGATGACTGATGTGAGGTTTCGTTATTAGTTACACAACCCCTAGCACAGCCATTAAATACAGCTAATTTGGACTCTTTACCAGCAAATCAGCTGATACCTTCTTCCCTAATCATTATTCTTGACAATTTTCATAGATTCTTGCTCAAAGTTAGATATAGATTTGTATTTCATATGGCTCAATGACTCAAAATTGAGTATTGGGATTGCAGCAACAAAACTGAGTACAGAGACTTTAGTTTTTTTGTGAAGGTGGAGAATCCATGGTGAAAGAGATAAATAATGTTTGAGCTTCCAATGATTCTTCTTCTTGTAGCAAAAGTAGTTCACCATTTTTTGTTTCCTCTTTGGTGGTTGAATGCTCCAAGAACCTAAACAATGCAAAGAGTCTTATAATGTAAAATCTCTTTATTTCCTTTTGAAGGAAGCTCAAATACAGATTAAAAAAAAGAAGCTAAACTTAATCAAATTACTGTCACATTAGGATCATATGACTGTAAAATCACACCATATAACTGTTATACTATCAACCATCTCTAATGATTCCATCGGCAGATGTTAATGTGATAAAAACCATGATGGGCGGCCAATTTGGACACATCAAGAAAAGCAAATTGGTTAACTCTCTTGAATAGCTAGCCATTTGTTTAACTTTCCAGTCTATTGGTCACCTTTATTAATGTTTTCCATAAGGCTCAGTTTAGAAGGAGTATAAATACAAATATGCAGAGTGCAAAACTTTGTATTTTGTATTATTTTAGATATATTTGTACAGTACATATTTGTATTTGTACTCCTTCCAAACTGAGCCTAAGTGATATAATTTTAATACAGGTTTGTATTTGCACAAAATGAAAAGATATAATTTTAATACAGGTTTGTATTTTTGCACAACATCACAAGAATCACCTCTATTCTTTTACCCATATATCATCTAAGAAGGGGTGAAAGTTTGATACCCGTTTTGAAGAATTGATTTACACAAATTACAATCAACTTAAATTTTCTCCCTTCTATTTAATCTTATTCAAAGGTAAAATAACAAAACCAAGTTAACATTTAATGTCATAATGTACCAACTCCATATAGTTGGTACAAGTCAGAGGACTTTGCAAACAATACGACGTGGGAGATTTCCCATCACAAATTTATCATTCTTGTTTCTAAAGTTTTTAAACTAATTCTCATTTCAGAACAAACGCATGCTTAATAGTTAATAATATATGTAGGTATAGAATTTAGACCAATTCCAAGAGTTTGTATCCCCACTACATCTACGTGAACCAAACCCAACCTAACGAAATTTTCAATACCGTCTCAAGGATTGAAAGAACAAGCTATGTACGGTACAGGTGTGGGGATATGTATCTTATCTTGTCTAGAATGATAAAATATTAAAACAGCAACAAATATTTGAAGAAAGGTCAATTGCAATTCCGCAGCCTAAACATACTACCAAACTTTTCGATCCAACTCCAGTCTCAAAGTATTTCACATTAAATTAATCAATTCAAAAAGCAGTTTCTCTAACTTATCTCCCATTAAAAAATGAAGAATAAGGTTCTGAGTCTTATGACGATGGAAGCCACAAATGAAACATTTATGTCTGCTCCGACATTTTGGACGCAGACTCCAACAGTGCTATTTAATTCATAACTCAATTGGGTTTGTGATGAAAGTCAAGATTGGCAGCTAACCTTCATTGATGATGGTTAATTATAGTCTTTCTTGCGTCTTCATCTGGGTCTTATCCTCTTCTATATGGGCCATACATATAACATTGTTAGTATTATATGTAGATAAGGGGTTAAGGGCTACAAGTGAAACCTAACTCAGAAACATATACAAAGCATATATACCTTGCATAGAGTCACCCCATCAAGTAATCGATCTCCATTAATTTGCAGGAAGCTGATATTGCTTTCTATTTTTGGTAGAACATCTGATACTGCTTTCAGGCCTGGTTACAGTTATTGAAGCAATGGCAGGTACATTTCTTAAATTCATTTCATCATCATCATCATAAATATCCCAATTATATAGCTAGGGTAGTTTACATAAATCTTATTTCACCATTACATTACATTCTGTTTAATATCATATCCATTGTTAAATTATGAGCACTTAAATCATTTCTTACCGCTTCAATCCATATTCTTTTTTGTCTACTCTTAACCCTTTCAGCCGCTTCAATTCGTAACTGATTACTTTTTCTTAACCCATTGATGTTACAATTCATCTAATTCCTTGCTAAATCACAATCTATAGGTGTTTGCTATGGAATGTTAGGCAACAATTTGCCACCCCCAAATGAAGCTGTGGATCTCTTTCAGAGAAACAACATTCGGAGGATCAGGATTTATGCTCCAAATGATGCTGTCATTCAGGCGCTTAAAGGCACCAACATTGAATTGATGATGGATGTCCCAAACCATGAACTTCAGCGCATAGCATCAGACAATCTCACTGCTGCCTATGACTGGGTCTACTACTATATTGTGAACAACAGGGCTGATGTGAAGTTCAAATACATTGTTGTGGGTAATGAAGTAAGCATGGATGACTGGAGATATGTCCTTCCTGCCATGAAGAACATTTACAGTGCAGTTCAATCAGCTGGCCTACAAGACCAGATCAAGGTTTCGACTGCGATTTACTCAGCAAACCTCAGTGATAGTTATCCTCCCTCCAGATCAGTTTTCAGAGGCGATTTGCTGCAATACCTACAGCCAATTGTTGGCTTCTTGGTGGAGAAAAGGGCACCATTGTTTTGCAATTTGTACCCTTATATCAGTTATCTTGAGAACCCAAGAGATATTAGGCTTGACTATGCCTTGTTTACTGCTCCATCGGTTCTTGTATGGGATGGCCAGTATGGATATCAGAACCTCTTTGATGCCCTTCTGGATTGTGTCTATGCTGCACTTGAGAAGGTGGGTGGATCCTCTGTGGAGGTGGTTGTATCTGAGAGTGGTTGGCCGAATGCAGGTGATTTTGCATCGACTACAGAAAATGCTCAGACTTATTTGAACAAGTTGATTCAACATGTGAAAGGGGGTACTCCCAGAAGGCCTGGTAGGCCCATTGAGACTTACATCTTTGCAATGTTCGATGAGAATACCAAGACTGGACCAGAGAGGGAGAAACACTTTGGGCTATTCACTCCATATAAGCAACCCAAGTACAACATCAATTTCTACTAAGAGTGATAAATGGGTACTCTACGAGGTGTTCTTGTCTTGAATAAGGGATAAATAAATTGAGGGTCCCAAGGGGCCTCTAGTTATTTGATGTCAATCTTGTTCTTTGTTTCTTTCAATTTATGTATTGAAATGAAGCCCATTTAGGGTGTTGGTCATGTTAGTAGTTGGGTGTGTTTTCTTTTGTTGTTTAAATTTGATTTTTTATATAATGAAAAGGTTTTTTCTTTAATTTTTTTTATATATATATATATAGATGGATAGAGAGAGAGAGAGAGAGAGAGAGCTCTTTTTTTTTTATTTTTTTTAAACAGCCCTTAGACTAAATTTGTTACACCAAATCTTCTTCCAGTACAGGAATAAGAAAGTCAGTAGGTGAGGACCAAGTAGTGATCTTACAGACATGACAAGCAAATTTTGCAATTACATGGGCAGCTCTATTACCCATCCGAGAGACAAAAGAGATTAAAACATAATAAAATTCTTACAAAAAATTCCTACAATAAGCAATAACTGTGTAAAGTCGCCAAGAAACATCTCGAGAAAGGGAGCTCTTTCCTTATTAGAGCAAATATGAGCAGTGGTTAATTTCAATTCTAGTTACAGCTAAGAATAAGATGAACCAAACCAGGCTAATTATAATTATCCCAAGAGAGAATGAGGAATCCATCTACTTATTGTATGTATGGTAAATGCTAGCACTACCAGAATATCCATCACTGATCCAAACACCGTTTGTGTTTAGGCTTTTTGTGATTTGAAAGCCCACTGAGGGACTGGGCCTACGATGATGGCATTGTTGTTAAATATTTCACTTTCGAGTATAAACAAGCACAAGTTGTTCGATGACTTGAAAGCAAAATTGAAAAAAGATTATTAATGCTATTAAAAAAGAATTAAAAATTGTTGTAGCCACCGGTGACGACGACTAAGAAAGGTCCACTTCCACCACAATGATTACTTTGATTGATCAGCCATAGCAATTGGGCTTCTCATAAGAAAAGTCAAGTTTGACAGCCCATCTTCATGGAGTCAATGGTCTTGCTAGACCCACTGTCCGAATGATCTCTTACAGACTTACACTACACGTATAAATGAAGACATATCACATACACTGATTGTGATTGGTTAGTGTAGAAAGTGTAGGAGAAAGAGATAAATTTGCTCACCAAATAGGTCATCAAGAGTTGTTCGATGAGAATGAACCCGACCGGGAGATGGGCAATTTGGTCTATTCAGTTCATGTAAGTATAACAACCTCTGTCCTATATCAGTTTCTTCGAAGAGCGATCTATTGGGCCCATATGTAGCCCATTTGTATCCAAAATAAAAATCTACTGAGCCCATCAGCCTGCCAAACCTTCACAAATATTCTTTCCACTAAAAAATGGACAAATCTGGTTGCTATGGGCTATGGGCCCATGTATTGGAAATTAGCCCATTGCTTTCTTGTTTGATATTACATTTGAACCCACTGATCTCGCACTTCAAAGAAAGGAGCTAGGATGTCCTACCCATAAACTCTTTCCACATCCCTCCTTACCCACAGCACACTACATGTGCGAAAGTCTGTAGAGTGTGGAGTGTGGGTAGGAGATCCGATTGAAAAGAGAAATCTCAGATTACAAGAAAGAAAGGAAAGAAGTTAATCCTGGAAATTCCCCAACCCGAATTTCCTGAAAACAAAAACTCTGAAAACACATCCAGCCACGCATTGAGAATATCTCTTAAGTGGTGCAAATCGGCCATTTGAAAATTTGCAACAATTTGAATTCAATTCATGGGTTACAGTAAATTACATCTCTTTGTGACACAGAGACACGAAACGAGATCACATCTGCGCCCCACAAACGTCCCACATGCACATCTCAGCATAAATTGAGAACATCTTCCAAAGTTATCAGTGGGTTGCAAGGGAGTCCTGACTATGCTTACAACAAAGTTGTGTTAAGACATGCTCAATTAACGCAACCCCAAGAAATGTTGATAATTTCCTCTCACGTGGATTACAAAGAGGCAGTTTGTGAATTAAGATCTAGTAGCTATTGGCTGCTTCATTAGATTCAAGCTTAAGTTCAATTCGCATATGAGCCTATATATTGAATTCAAGCTTAGCTTAGACTGAATCGAATCAAGCTATATTTGAATGTATAGTTTGTAAAAAGCTCATTTGTGTCCACTTCTATTCACGATTATAGATATCGTTGATGTCGTTGCTAGTTGCTAGGAAACATCTTAGGTTGTCTCAACTTTGGACTTAGAGGCAATGGCGTTCTTGCACCTTGTCGATGTAGCATTCCTTTTGTGTATACTCTTCTTCCTTATTTTCTGATTACTTAAGAAGAAATGCTACTCCTCGTCTTTTGTACAACTTTTTAATTGCATTAAGACGAATACTAATGATAATCATCATCTATCTATGCTGATTCTACTGGGTGATCAGTTAGTCGTAGGACCCATTTGAGGGTGGGACCTCATAGTCATATAAGAAGCAATGGAGCATAGAACAAGTGGCAAGTTATGGGCCCCAAACCCATCTTATAGGACCCAAGATATGTCCACTCCTGCCCTTCCCCTCCTGTTTTTTACAAATCCATAGACCATAGTCCGCAGTTACTATACAACGTGAGCATTTAATCTCTTGTGTTTGTGTACAACGGACATGGTGACTTGCAAGTAAGGGGAAAGCTAGATGAACCTTTCTAGGTTCAGAGGTGATTCTCAGGCCAGATTGGCAAAGCAAGGAGTCATGCCCTTGATCACCTTCAGAGTGTCCAGACATGGCGTATCTTCCATCTTGCGTTGCTTGTTTCTTCCTTCACTTCTTGTTCTCCATTGTTCATCAAACACAACCCAACCTTGTCTGAGTTGTCTATCATGGTCTTCTCCCGATGGGCCGAATGGTCATTAATATCTTTCTTTTCTTTCTCCTCCTTCCTTGGTTACGTGAACCGATGACTTGATAGCTAGTGTTCAAGTTCCTTCAGGTAGCATACAATTATCACTGAAGTTAGATGCACTACTTTGAGATATAAATTGGATATGAGGCACAAGTGCTTGTGATCATCAGAGTTCGACAGACTTAAATCTTGAAGGTGTCAATCGATCTATGTCTGTTCAGTCCTGTTAGGAAAATTACAGTCGATCCAAAAATGGGTGACTCTGTAACTTGGATGGCTCCATTCAAGGGCTTGTTCATCCTCTGGCTCTCCTTCCAATTTGGCATGTTAGTTTGTGGAGGGAGAAATAAACTTGACTATTCATTCCTTGAAACCTCTCCAATAGTGACAGGTAAACTTTTCAGCTCTTGTTCTCTTTCCCTGTGCTTTAGAGTTTAGACTATGAACCCACTGGATTTTCATGGCTTTTAGAGTCACCGTGGTTATAAATTTTAATGCCAGAGTCAAGTCTGCAATCTATTGATGTTTCAGCTCATCCTGCCCTTGGTAAATTAAATGCATTGCAGGTGCACAACCAGTAGGTGTTTGCTATGGAATGCTAGGCAACAATCTGCCACCCCCAAATGAAGCTGTGGATCTCCTCAAGAGAAATAACATTCACAGGATCAGACTTTATGCTCCAAATGATGCTGTCATCCAGGCTCTGAAAGGCTCCAACATTGAACTCATACTGGGTGCCAATGAAATTCAACGCCTAGCGTCGGACCCCGGCGCTGCGCGCGACTGGGTGAACCACTATGTGCTGAACAACAGGGATGTGAGGTTCAGGTATATTGTGGTGGGTAATGAAGTAAGCATGAATGAATGGCCGTTTGTTCTCCCTGCCATGAGAAACATTTACAGTGTAATCGAGTCAGCTGGGTTACAGAACCAAATCAAGGTTTCAACTGCGATTTACTCAGCAGTCCTCACAGATACCTACCCTCCTTCCAGATCAGTTTTCAGACCTGAATATCTGCAATTCTTGCAGCCAATAGTTGGCTTCTTGGCGGAGAAGAGGGCACCACTGCTTGCTAATCTGTACCCTTACTTCAGCTATATCAATGACCCAACAAACATTAGGCCTGAGTATGCCTTGTTCACTGCTCCATCAGTTACGGTGCAGGATGGTCAGTTTGGATACCAGAACCTGTTTGATGCCCTGGTGGATTGTGTGTATGTGGCACTTGAGAAGGTGGGTGGATCCTCTGTGGAAGTTGTGGTAACCGAAACTGGTTGGCCGAGTGCTGGTGATTTTGCATCAAGCACGGAAAATGCACAGACTTATTTGAATCGGCTGGTTCAACATGTGAACGGAGGGACTCCCAGGAGGCCTGGTAGGCCTATTGAGGCTTACATATTTGCAATATTCGATGAAAATGCTAAGTATGGGCCAGAATCGGAGAGACACTGGGGGATCTTCTATCCAAGCAAACAGCCTAAGTACCAACTCGGTTTCACTAATTCAGAGCCATAGATGGCTTTTCCAAGTGGTGTTCTGATATTTTTCAATAAGAGGGATAGACTTGTATCCCATTATTTAGTGGCCTATGGGCCAATATGGACTTTATTTTCCTTTCTTTTGAACTATGTATATGTATGCCATATATAAAGGATAGTAACCATAAAAGATACATTAATAAAGGTATTTTTGTGGATAAATAAATAAATAAATAAATAAATAAATAAATAAATAAATAAATAAAGAGGGTATATTTACTTGAACACTTGAAGGTGCGAACTGGCTCAGTTGGTACTAAGGTCTCTATCTTGTTGTAGTAATCCCGCCTTTACCAGGGTTGGGGAGTCATGGGTTTGGGGGATGGGCTATATCCCCTTTGTATAGCCCCAGTCAAAGTTCAAAGTATTGATGAGTCAAAAACTATTTTTTATTTTTTTTTGTTTTGTGTTTTTACAATGGGCTTATAATATTATTATTTAACACTTAAAACATCACTTTTTTTTTTTAAAAGCCTTAAAATTGTCATTTCGGTGATTTGTCAGAACAATACATGTGTTCGATATGGGGAATATTGTATCGATATTTTGAATCTTGGTCCAATGGAACCCAGAGAAAGAAAAAAAATCTCCTTAAACATTTTATTGAAACCATTTTATCCCCTAAAAGGCTAATCACTAAATAAATAAGTTCAGTTCAGATTATTCAACAGATGTTCTAATGCAGGTGTGCAATCCATAGGTATTTGTCATAGAATTGCAATCAACAATTTACTATTCCTAAATGAAATTGTGGATCAGTATATTGGAAGGATAAGTCTCTGCAATTAATCCAAACCAAGAAGCTCTTTGGCCTTTGGAAAGCTTCAAAACTGAAATCATGCTACATGCCCTAAAAAAATGATTTCATTTCTAGCAATCGCTCCGCTGCACCAAAACTAGTAATATTGGCGTCAACTTGGGTATGTTGGTCTGTTTCATGGCTAAGGTTTGTTTACTTTTTTTTTTTATTTTCTTTAGATTTTTATTTTTTTAAGTGTGTGCCATGTTACATGGTATATATTCTTTGGTCTTTTCAATTCGATTAGAAAAAGAGTAAAATAATATTTGAGATAGATCATTATTTATGTATATTTTGTACATATAGTTTCGAAAGAAACCCACACATTGGGTTGGGTAGGGTAGGGTAGGCTTGTACTGAGCCTAGTTTATCTACCAAAAACCAAAACCCAAAACCCAACCCAAATTTAGCTAGGCCAGGCATAGGCCAGATAGGAAACTCAATCCGTGTACAGCTTCTGTTGGGCTTCGTGACATTTGAATTGGGCCCCCACATTATGTCTCTTCACAAAACTGTAACTAGAATCATAAACGTGGTAGTCAAGCAGGTGTTATTTATCAAAATTCATGGGTGGGTTTTGATCGACTAAAATTATTTTCATACCATATCTTTTCCGCACCATAGATTTTTCCCATTATTTGTGATATCAGATAGTCAGCTCGGATGTTTATTTTCAGAATTCTTTAATTTCCTGTGTTGAACCCACTAAAATAGATGTTGGTACTCGAGAGTTGAACATAGGGCATTTAGTGAGGAATTGGAATCTACTGCCAATAAAATACGTTCAAATACCCTATTGGAACCCTACTAACATGATCTGACACTGCACATCTCACCATGAAATTGTGAAATGTTATAAAAGTGCGATCTATCATGTGTGAGATGTGTGGTGTTGGAACTCTCTAGTGAGGGCCATCAGAACTGATCTCTTGTTTCTTCCATGTATAAGGGTGTCAATGTATGAGTAAGGGTTTTGGATTGGACCCCATCCAGTTCAAAATCAATTTGGACAGATTGGACAGATAAATAAGACATATCGGACTGGACCAATCCGGTCCAAAATATTTATTAGATTGGATTGGGCCCGGTCCATCCACAATAAATTTATATTGATATAAGATAAGAATATAAGTGTTAATGAATTGGATTTGGGTTGAAACCAATCTAAATCAAAACTAATTTGAACAAATTGGGCAGTCCAAACATTGAATTGGACTGGTTCAAAATGGTCCAAAATATTCATGGACTGGATTGTGGACCTGGATTGGATCAAACCCAGTCCAATTGACACCCATATATGAGTAAGGCCAACTTATATATGAAGTGGGCTTGGGCCTAATTCAGGGCTACCCATTAATAGCGAATCAAACCATAGAATCCAACGCATTTCAGATGTTACTTCTATGGCTAAGTTAAAAGATTAAATGTAGAGCTAGTTTTCTTTCTTCCCATCAATATCTAAAAGCATACATACTCAAGAAATCATGTCCATTAACAGAATCCCCTATCTGGCTCTACTTGAGGCAGCGATAAGGACTGAGACTGAGTAGTCAGAGCTACCATTCTTTCAATTCTTTTTCTCATTTTCTGAGCACCAAGCTAAGCTATTACCAAACATTCTTGCAATAATAGTAAGCATCTGAATCATTTCAATTCTGTGCAGTAACTTTCCTAACAAAATGAGTGAACTTGACTAGCAATAGTGAGGGAACGCTAGTTGTGCAGTTGTCATCAAGCGTTGTAGTTGTTAACCCATTAACGGTTGGCCTTTAAATTGGTATCGTCGACCCTAATGGAGTCAATGTAGAATATAGTGGACAAGATGGATCCTGTTCAGTTCACCCTCCGCACCATGATAAATAGAGCCCGATTTGATGGGCTTTGTCTCAATCTTCAATCCATATAGCCCACAGATTTAGATGGCAACAAGGGTACTTAAATGGGCTGGAATTCTTTCCAAGTCATTGTCGATAACTCCTAGTGTGACTTTACTTCTGGGTTACATGGCAAACAGTTGTCCTGGGCCCCCAAAGCGACTGCAATCCATGTAGAAGATTGTCAGTCCATAATATATTATTGTGAAAATTAACAGAAATCCGTTAAGATGAGCGTATCATCATTATTGGGAAACCAAAATATCAGAAAGGCATATTCCACAGAAGTTCTAGTTCTAGCCACTAACAAATGGCTTGATTATCAAACTCATGCTTGTTTTGGGTCTCGATACGTTTTAAGGAAAAACATTCAAATCTAGACCATAAATAATTGACTGATCTTTTAGACAATAAAGATATTGAGGCTCAGTTTGGAAAGAGTAAAAATGTATATAGTGTAAATATATACAAAATAATATAAAATGTAAGATTTTGCATTCTACATATTTGTATTTGTATTCTTTTCAAATTGAGTTTGATGGATAATTAGTGTTGTTAGTTTGTGAAAGAAATACTCGACAGCTGAAACGAGTTTAACTTCAATCAGTGCAAGCCCATGTTCACATCGTTCGAACAGCCTCTTGCAATCTTGGACCCGGAAGAGTTATGCCTTATTTTCTATTGATGCGGATAGGTCTGTGCGTGGCTTGAAGAATTAGGCCTATCTTGGGCCCGGAAGTGGTTTGGTGCCAACTGCCAAGGGAATTGAGACTTTAGATAGACTGAACTATCATTCGGTCTATCCCCTGCGAAATGGGTTCTGGATGCCAAGAACTGAGCCTTTGTGGGCTGGCCTGTATTGACCAAAGCACGTCCTTACAAGAATGGCTCAGCTATTCACGGCGGCAATTCTGTTCTCACTTGCCCCAATCAAGAAGAAAACTGTAGAATTGAGGGTTCATTTGGTTTATGGTCAGAATTGGAATTAGAATGATTTATTCTTCTCATCTATTTAATTCATATAGAAATCAGAATTGGAATTAGAATCAGATGGATTCTCATTCCCAAGGGAGAGAATGAAAATGGTCATTCCTTCGAATGGGCATATTATTCAACTAAGAATGAAAATAGTATTTCAATTCCGTCCAATCAAACAATTTCATATTTGTTCTGATTCAAATTCCAGATCTCTATTCTTACAAAGCAAACAGACTGCACATGGCAGAGTCCGGTTCCATTGTAAATGTACAGGATGATGATGCAGCTTATCAGTTATTCTCTCTGATATAGAGGCTCTAATATGTACCGTATAAATATATACAAAATAATATAAAATACAGGAGAGAATAACTGATGACGTCAAGGCAGATGACGTCAAGGTTGGTTTCACTTTGGATTCCTTTCTCCTCCGAGTACTTAACGAGTCTTGAACCTATGAACCCAATTATGCATGGATCCAAAATTTGTGGCCCCAGGTCTACTAAACTGGGCCAGATGTGTCAATGTAGCCCTTCCCACAGCTTGCAAGATCCATTATGGAACTCATATGGCCAAGATATGATTGGTGGTTTTCCATTCTACGAGGGGATAATAAGTTTCACACCCGAAGTGCAGTGGCTCCCTAATGTTCACCCTAGACCAAGGATAAAAAAATCGTTATGTATTTGGTCCGTATTAATCAATACATATTATATCGGGCCCTTTTCGATACGTCTTTATAGGGGTTGTATTGGATCAGGGCCTGATTCAGAGGGTAATTGAGACTTAAACCGGCTCCTCTGAATCAAAATCGAAAAAAGTAAATAGAATTAAAAAAAGGCCGATACTGGCCGATATGCCCTATCGACGTATTAATTAGTATCGATACTTTAAACCTTGCCCATGTCACATTCAGTTTCTTAACTGAGTTAGTTGTGAATGAGCTTAAATAGCTTCAAATTTAATTATATATTTTAAAAAATTCAAAAAAAACCACAAAATTCTAAGAGAATTAGAAATCAGCACGAGAAATATGATATACACAACTGCATTTTAAAATATAATATAAATAAATATGTTATTAATTTTAAAATTTTAATATCAAACAAACTTTGTTGTTCACTACGTACTTTGAATTTGGTTGTATTTCATTAATCATCTAGACTCATTGGTGTTGATTATCCAAGTCATATCCAGGCTACACGAATCCTTTACAACTTTGGGGAGAATGTTCTAAGAATTTTATTTTTTCTGGTATCCTGATTGGATTATAATTGAAATTGAGATATCTCCAATTTGTTCACTCTCCTATGCTCTGAGATTTCTTTGTTTAGGTGGTGTTGTTATTCAATACTCCTTACATTTATCATAAATTACCATGTATTGCTTTTCTATTTTGATTCCATGTACTTAAAGGCTCAGTTTGAAAGTAGTACAAATACAAATATGTACAGTATACATATAAGTTTAGAAATATAAAATATAAGGTTTTACACTGTATATATTTGCATTTGCACTCTTTCCAAACCGAGCGTTAGTGCCATATGGATTATTTGAACTTAACATGCAAAAAATGTATTTAATTGGACAGATTTAAGTTAAAACTGGAATACCACATTTTGCACCGGGTTATATGCATAGGTGTGTTGGGGAGGTTTCTTGAATTTGGGGGCATTCCTACTACATTTTACATACAATTTCCTGAATTCTAATTCGGTTCCATTAAGGCTGATCTGAATTCGATCTGTTTATAATTAGATTGAATATTGATCTATTCCTATCCAATTTGATTTGATATAATTTGATTCAATTTAATTTAAATATATCTGCTCATATATATATATATATATATATATATTATATTTATTAGTAAAGTTGGTCTAATGTTGTATTTTAAATAAATTTTTATAATTCTTTACTATATCCACTGGACATAATTATGAGCCAATTGAATACCTTGTATAGCTTTTTAGAGGGGTAAGGTTTTTATGTCCCCCCTTCTAGGTTTTTTTTCCATAATTAATAAAATTTAATGGTAGCCGCCATGATTTAAAATATTGATATACCACTATGTAATGGTACTTAAAATAACACGTATTTATATTTTTATAGATTTTTTTTTTCAAAATTTGGTTTTTGGGCATATTTTTAACTATATTTTTTATTAAAAGGAGGATGGTTCCCGAAACCCTTGTAAATAGGCATATCGTAAAGTATCCAATACAATACAATATTAATATATTATATCCAATACGGGATGTATCATATCGAAATTTTGAACCTTGATAGTTGACCCTTCACTAGAAATATTTAAGATTAAAAAAATAATTTTTTATTGGTTCAAATTTCATATAAGTAATTTTCAATTCACACACATTTGTCCCTACACATTCCATGACTTTTCCATGACCTTCACTGGTATGGGCCCCATTGAAGGAATAGTTTCCACGGTCTGGGCTTGACTTCTAAGTTCCTACAGGCTACAGTGATGTGTGAGTCCCTCAAACTAACCCTCGTCTGTCCTTATAAAAGGAGCATCAATGCATGGAAGATGCAACGAATCTTGAGCTCCTCTCTCTCTCTCTCTCTCTCTCTCTTCATTCTCTTCATGGCCATGTGTTACTTAGAAAGAAAGAGTAGGCTTTCCACGGCTTCTCTTATGGCCCTACTTCTTGGGTTGCTAATGGTTACTGCACTCTTCAGAGGTCTCTCTTTTCTCTATACACACATAAATATACACGTTAGTTATTGAGATGCAATTGTTGTTTATTCTTTACTTGTCTTCATATACGTTGGGTGTGAGATAATTATTGTATCCAGTGCAAGAAGAAAAGTAAGTAAAATAAAAAGCTTTATAGTAGTAGCAGTGCCTGACATACATGTGGTGGTGATTTGGCATCAATCTCAATGATTTAAGATTACCTATAGTTAGTTACTCATAATACTAGCCATATTATGATATGCCACATCAGCTATATAGACATAGGTCCCACATGTCCAGCTGAAATGTTGTATCATGACTGGCCCAGTAAAAATGAATTCTGACATGCAATTAACATTGTATTGAAGCCGCTGATTACTTGTTTCTCCAGTCTATTTGTGTCCTTGGGAAAACTATTATTTTTTTTTCTTTTGTTTTGGAGAAAAGATCGGGACAAATTCTCAACTTGCAATGATCTGATTGGTCCAACAATCACTTGTTTACGTTTCCTTCAGGTTTGTTTAGGATTAAATTGTAGAGCAAAATGATGTGGTCTCAACTTACGGAAAAAAATAAATGAAATTAAATAGGAGGGATATTTTTTGGAGGAATAAAACAGGAAATAGAATAGTGCAGTCACTATTTTAAAATGAGAGAGATAAAGGCAGAAAGGTGATGTAAGATTTGCATCCTGATGCCTTCATTAGGCTCAGTTTGTAAAAAAAAATACAAATATAAATATATACAGTGCAAATATAAATATAAATATAAAATACAAGGTTTTACACTCTATTAATTTGTATCTGTACTCCTTTGCAAACTAAGCCTTAAAAATTATCATGGAGTCCATCACCTGGTTTCAGATGACCTACAAACTGGTTTCCTTCCTGTGGTGAAGTTGATTTTGATGGCTGCTATGCCTTCTTGAGGCCATTCATCTTTGTAATTGTGTGAAGGGGTCTCAATAATGCTGTTTTGTCCATAATTAAGATAAAATATAGATCAGAGCCAGAGAGAATTTGCAAAATTGATCAAGGACTTTACCCACATAACCCCAAAAAGAAAGACTCATGGGCCCAATTGTCAATTCAGAGACAATGGCCCGCAATAAAAGCCAAAGCTTGCCGCGAAGCAAGATAATACACAATAGAGAGAAGTAGAGCTGCAATTTTAGCCTAGGTTAGCCAAACCCAACACCCCCCCCCCACCCCCCAAGAAAAAAGCTCTTGTCTATTTATGTTCGCCAAATCCGAATATCCTATTAGGTTTCACGTTCAAATTTCTATTTCAGACATAATCTAAACTAAAAGTTGTCTTGGTCTCTTGGTTATCTCTTTTCTCTGTATAAGTTATCCAAGTGAGGACAAGTGCTATACGTACATCATGGCTATCTATTATGTCTATTGAAATTACAAACATCTTAGTAAACCTTGCTTAATTTGTTTCTTTCGCAGGTGCACAATCGATTGGTGTGTGCTACGGAATGCTAGGTAACAATTTACCACCATCGAATGAAGTTGTGGATCTCTTTAAAGCCAACAATATACAGATGGTGAGACTTTACGATCCAAATCGAGATGCTCTTCAGGCTCTCAAAGGCTCCAACATTGAAGTAATGCTTGGCGTCCCAAACAGTGACCTCCAGAGGTTTGCCGGAGGCGACCTCACTCCGGCATTTAACTTCGTCTATGGCAACGTTGTAGACAACAGAGATACCATCAAATTCAAGTATATCGTGGTTGGGAATGAAGTTAGTCTCGAAGATTTCAAATATGTCCTTCCAGCAATGAGAAACGTTCAGAGAGCAGTTGAACAAGCTGGGTTACAAAACCTAGTGAAGGTGACAACTGCAACTTACTCTGGAGTCCTGGATAATACCTTCCCTCCTTCCAATTCCGTCTTCAGAGCTGAGTATCTGCAATACATGCAGCCCATCATTGGCTTTCTAGCTGAAAAAGGGTCACCACTATGTGCTAATATCTATCCTTACTTCAGTTACAGTGGGAACCCAGCTTCTATTAGGCTTGATTATGCCTTGTTTACTGCTCAATCTGATGTGGCAGAAGATGGTCAGCTCAGATACAGGAACCTTTTTGATGCCCTCTTGGATTCTATGTATGCTGCTGTTGAGAAGGCAGGCGGGGGCTCTGTGAAGATTGTTGTATCGGAGAGTGGTTGGCCAAATGCTGGTGAGTCTGCAGCAACAACACCAAATGCACAGACTTATTTGAACGGGCTGATCCAGCATGTGAAAGGAGGTACTCCCAGAAGGCCCAATGGCCCTATTGAGACTTACATATTTGCAATGTTCGATGAGAATACCAAGCCTGGAGCAGAGACAGAGAGACATTTTGGGCTGTTCTCCCCCAATAAACAACCCAAGTACCAGATCAATTTCAATTAAGAGCGGTTGGAGTTTGAATGTGGCCACTGGCCAGAGTTAAACTTCTGTTTTAATGTATTTTTCGTATTAAATAAACGGTTATGGTTAGACACGTAGGAATCACAAGAGTAAGGAAAAACGACTCTAGTGATATAATCTGACGTCTAGTCTGTGGCTTCTCTGTTTTTGAAGATATCTCATAATAATGAAGTTTTTACTATTATGATAATATCTTATAATTTTAGTTTAATGTTTGAATTTGACGACCTTCTATCTTTTCTTCAAAGATTGATCTTAGTTTTAATTTTTGTTGAGTTTGATAATTTGCTTCCCATTATATATAACTCATAAGTGGTAGATCATGTCATTCCGGCATCATACATTTATCCTCTATATGGTGATTAAAAAGGAAGAGAAAATTGGAGATTGCTTTTGATTGATATTTGACAGCCTTTTGACATTTATAGAAAACTAGAACAAGTCGATGGAGTTTAGAACATACAACTCCACATCTATGCAGGTACAAACCGACCGGCTAACGTATCAATTGAGCCATAATAAAAGCATTTATTTTTCATTAACTACATGCATATTTGTAATATTATTTAATCGTTTGATTCGCGAGGAACTGGATGAAAAGAAACTCTCATGTCCGGTTCTGCAGTAGAGATAGAATTGAGAAACGACCATCAACTATAACCTCAAAAGAATCTGATTTTGTAAACAACATAGAGGAAGAATGAAGGGAATATCTTATCGAGGCAATCGTATTTGTTACGGTTTTTAGGCATTGTATGTTTTGAGATACTATACAATACAATCAATCGAAGGGAATCAACTGGATTCAATAAAAAAAAAGGTTCAGTAATCCCCCAAAAAGGAAATATTTCTATCTATTTTGTATCGTTTTGGCGGCATGGCTGAGTGGTAAGGCGGGGGACTGCAAATCCCTTTTCCCCAGTTCAGACCTTCCCACGGTTTTAATTATTTATAAGTAGAAAATTTCACTTTAGTACCCTAAACTTTGGGGGTAGTGTTATGTTAGTATCCGAATTTTTAAATGTTATTTCAGTACCTAAATTTTCAAAAAGTGTCAAGTGGTCCCTACCATTAACCGATCGCCAATTATCTATTGAAAATGTTAAAACTACCCTTCAAAAGAAGATACTGTTCATTATCTTCTACCTTGAGATTAGGGGTGTCAATTGACTAGGTTTCGATTGGATCCAATCTGATCAAAACCTTATCAAATTGGATTTGTACAGTCCACTATTATTATTGGATTGGGCCAATCCAAAATAAATTGGTCCATATTCTTATTGGTCTAAATTAGACCTAAATCAAATTTTCAATAATCGGATCATGAGGCCAAATCCTTGTCCAATTTGAAAATGATCAAAACTAAAAACAGTATAAAATCACTTTTATGAAAGCATTTTTATGAAAGTAATTTTATAAAAGCACTTCTACAAAAGTACTTTTACAAAAGCACTTCTACGAAAGTACTTTTATAAAAGTACAAAAGCACTTATACAAAAATACTTTCATAAAAGCAAGCACTTCTACGGAAGTACTTTTATAAAAGTACTTATATGAAGGCACTTTTACAAAAGTGCTTTTTCAATGCCAAATGGGTATAGTTTTGTAATTTTTAGATTTTCTCCCTTTTAATATATTTTTATAATTTTTTATATGTTTTGTTTTTTATATTTCATTTGGTTTGGATTTGATCCAATGTAGTTCATTTACATTTTAATGGATTGAATTGGATTTGGTTTGTATTGGATTTGGACTAGATTGAGTCCGGTCCATTTGTAAGTGGACTCACATTGCACTGGATCAGGTTGGACCAAATCCAGTCCAATTGACACCTCTACTTGAGACTGAACCTCCCAAAAAACAAAAAGCGGAACCATCATCCAACCAAGCCACACCCTGGCTTGGCTTGCTCCTTCCAACGTCACCCCAAGAATAGACTTTAACGGATGAAGAAAAAAGTCATAAGCCTGGTTTTGCTCCACCTCTTCTTCCCTTTCTGCCCCTACCCTTGGATGAACTCTTCTTCTTACCTCTACTTTCCTTATCCACCTTATTGATTGCAAAATCCACGATAACCTTCTCAATGTTTGGCTTCCAGGAGGCAACTGCAACCCCCCAAACTTAGAAAGCTTTGTCTGCTTTATCTAGAGTGAATAAGTTCTCAGCCTTTTCTAACTTCGGGTCTGATCTCGATTGTTTAGCTCTTCTTTCCTCTTCGCTCTCCCTCTTGAACCTCCCAAATGCCTCTCCGCTGGAGTTGCCTCCGCCCACAAAGCAAAGTTCCAACTCCCAACATGTTCGCCACCTTGATCTTATTTCCAACTCTTTTAAGTATGTTAACCTAGAAACTGAACTCCAATCCAAATCAGGTTCCAACTTCTCTATTCTACGAGCACGAAACACATTCTCCTCCTCCGACTTCCCCTACTCGCAAGAAAACCCAAATTCATTTGACGTTTGCCAGGAACTGATCTCTTGCTTGCCTCCTCAGAGCTTGAAAGTTGAAACCTCTATCGGAGATACTGTCTTTGGCTTTTGATTCTCCACAGCCTTAGATCAGTCCATAGCTACTATCTTGTATCCCCTTAGAGAATCCACTGCTATCACTTTTGGACCGTCCACCAGTACCCTCACTACAAAATCATATCCTTACCCAGAACTTGGACCGAAATCGACTTTGGCAAGTTTAAAGGAGCATGGGCTTAGACTACCAACGTCCTCACTGCTTTGACTTCTTTCCATTGCAGATTTTCCTACGCTACATCAGTGAAGCCCCCCAAGCATATCTAGGGGTGTCCATGAAAAATAAAAAATTTGAGAAAACTGAACCACGAAATGTGGTTAACCGAACCGATTGGTTCAGAATTTTTGAAAAATCGAAGGACCAATTCGATTTTCGGTAAACCTACAAAATAACCGACGGTTTAGAATTTTTGCATACTTGCTATGTATTATGTATAAATATATATTCATTATATATAAAAATATATACTTATATATATTTATAATGATCTATTTATAAAGATATTATATATATTATATATTTTTAAAATATTTATAATATATTACATATCATTTATTATTTATAATATAATATTATACATATATTTATATAATATATATTATAAATATAAAAAACCAAAAAACCAAAGAACCAAACTGGTAAAAAATTGAAACCGGTGGACCGGTTAACCAATGAATAGTGAGTCTAGCATCGATAAAAAACATGCCTTTAGTAGGAAATCTAAAAGACATCCTACTCTGTTTGCAGCTTGAAAGTGTTAGCCACCTCTATAAAGTTGATTCACACACCTTAACGTCCTACGCCTCTCCTACTAAACACCTCCTTCTCCCTCACCCCCTTCAAGCCTACACACAGTCTCAGCCCAACCTTCGTCAGCTTCACCTTCATTCGAAAAGTACATTGTTTGCTTCTTATGTTTTTTATCTCTTTTTCTTTGAAAATAACTGGTTCATTCTCAAGGTAGAAGGCAATGAATAGTGTCTTCTTTTGAAGGGTAGTTTTGACATTTTCAACAGATAATTGACGATTGGTTAACGATAGGGACCAACTTGATACTTTTTGAATGTTTAGGTACTGTAGTGACACGTTTGTAAGTTTGGATACTTATTTGACACTACCCCCAAAGTTCAGGGTACTAAAGTGGAATTTTCCTTAATTATAAAGTAATGAGAATATTAATATGGGTAATGGTATTTAGCTTGTTGGTTGGTGGGTTGTTCAAATTTCAAGTTTCGATTGCTATTTTCATGAGGGCGGTCCCCTATTTTCTTATTTTTTTTTCGATGAGGAGCTCGGGTAGACCTTTATGGGTCAACTCAATTTCTTTGGGTAGACTGCCCATCGTTGAAGACATTAGGCTGGGCTAGTTAGACTTATTGTTGAAGCCATTTCGGCAGGGGCCTGACTCTTCAGGTATACAATATAGGGCCTTGATTCGGGTCAAATGCCTAGGATTCAAGGCCCTGTATTGTATACTCGAAGAGTATGAGTTGAGATGTTCAGCTGTTGGTGAGAGAGCCACCTCGGCTCCGTCAGGTGAGCTTTGTGTTTATGAGTACAGCTTTATGGCTGGGCTGAGGTTCCCTTGAGTGAGGGGATGGTCATGGTGCTGAGGTGGTTCGAGACACCTTGGATCGGATAACGTCACCCACAAGCTTTATTCCCCCTGAAATCTGTATACTAGAGGCTAGAGAGTCTTAAGGTCTCTCTATGAGGCACTAAAGATTTCTTTGCTTGCCAAGACCCTTCACCCAAATCTAAAAGCAGTGTCGACTTGCAGCCAAGTCTCCCTTTGGAGATAGACATGATAGTGTTAGACTTACAAGAGACAGAAGGTTGCTCCGCTCAGGGGGTCGTTGCAGCTCAGGTAGATCAACTGATGGACTTTGGGAAGTTTCTTTGGGTATCCTACACAGTGGAGCAAGAGCCCCAGTTACGAGATTGATTTAGTTTCTCTTTAGCCAGTGATGTGAAGGTTCATATCCCTCGAAACGACAGGTGCTCAGAACCGAAAACAGAGGTGGAGAAAGAAAGTTCCTAGTCAGATGTCTCCTCTACACCTGGTGCCATTGCTCAGTAATAGAAAATCTAAACTGTCGAGTGTTATGACATACCGGTGGTTACTCCTTCACGCTCGCAGTACTATTAGGGGAAGGGGTAGAAGAGGTAGAGGAAGAAGCACTTCGGCCAATTAGGCTCTATTTGGCATCACTCCAAAGATTCAATTTTGATAATTCTCACGATTCTTCGAAATAGAATGTTGTTTGGGTTTATCGGCTTCGGAGAATCACTTTGTTTTTGCATAGAATTTCTCATGCAATGGCGTAATTCTTTAAATCCATTTTCTGCTTTTCGCTACGTCCTATGACTCCCATCTTAAAATATCAAACACATGTGCCCATGTTCCACGTGTGAACATGGGTTTTCACATCATTTTGCAGTTTAAACACCTACAGGATGAGAAAAAAAATCGTAGATCAAAGTATCGAACAGGACTTGAAATCAGCCCCCCACAAGTCCACAACGAAACATCTTCTAATTATGTTTCATCATTTTTGATATTATCGGGAGATATTCTCAATATACAGCGGAAATGTGCCGTAGGATGTTGTTGGTGGCTGATTTGTGAGGGGCTTATTTGAATTCATTGAACAGATGTCATTTTTTCGGGTTAAGATTGAAACTTTGTGAAAATTTCAATGGGCTCAATCCGAAGCCCGAACCCGATAGTGTAAACTGTTAACTCGAGCCAACCCGACTTTTACCCGTTTCGGCTCTCCTTCCCCAACGTCTCTCTACTCATTCTCTTTTCACAGGAGGAAGTTTTTAAGTAAACCGAGTTCTTCTTTCTTCATTTTTTCTCAGAAACAATCTCTTTTCATAGTTCAGAGGTGTTCTTCGTTTTTCCCTTTACAAGGATGCACAAGAAACGATTCAAAGGTCTAAATCCTCTCTTTTCACGGTTCAGAGGTCTTCTATGTTCTGCTCTTTCCAAGGGCGCACAAGCAACGATTCAAAGACCTACATCCATAGGTATGCTTTGAACTTTCATCATTTTTTTTTATTCTTCCCCAGATATTCATTATATATCCATCTAAGTTCAAACTTTCTTTCTATGTATCGTTCTTTCCTTTTGCAACGGTTCTCTGTTTCTTGTGAAATGAATGAGAGGGACGAAGAACCAAATCCCCTCTTCTCCTCTTCTTACAACCATTAGCCTCCACTAATCGAGATTCATCTGATAGACATTCAACGAGAGCGCATAAATAATAACACTCTTAAGCTATTCGATAGAAGGTCTGAGAGAGTCAGAGAGAAGTATTTTAATGAGGTTGGGATGATAAGACCACGCCTCTGTTGTTGTAGTTGTAGATGGGATTGTAAGTGGATTCCACTAGGATCTAGAGGGTGTGTTGCGTTGTATACCTCTTATCCTTTAAAAAAGAAAAAAAAACGAATATCAATATGAGATAGGAAGAAGTAACAAATGATAATAAATAGATCATGATGAGGGGCGATGGTGAAGCCTTAAGTAGAAATGGAAGTGAATCAATGGTTGTTGTGGAATAGCTAAAGACTTGAGAAAAAGGTCAGGGTGAAGAGAAGGTTGAAACAGGTGGTGGTTGAAAATTGAAGTCTTGGTACATTATTTGATTGTATAGATTAGATTAATTGAACTTTTGGTAGTCTGTTTTGATGGCTGAGATTAGAGGGTGTGGTGAAGGCAAGTGAAACCGGAAATAATTAGTGAACCGATGGTTGAAATCTTGGTTTAGAAAATTCTGACTCGTTTCTTCGATAGGAGAAGAGAGTGCTTAAATTATTTTTTTTTGCTTCCATCCAAGTCCTTTGTGGTTTGTTCTATTTCTTCTAGCTCATTCAACTTGTAACAGATCACTTTTTTCAATAGGTGTTGTAGATGGTCTTCTGGTATGATTTAATGTTTAACTTTGTCCTTTCTACATTTATCAATCATCCATCTAATTATTTGCATTTCAACAGCTTTACTTTTTTGGACATGTTATTTCTTAACTGCCCAACATTTAACAATATTGTTGAATGTTCCTTCTACTTTTCATTTGACAAAAGTGATATTCGCCTATCACATAAGACTCTGGATGCTCCCTATTGCTTTTCATGTTTTTCTTTAATTAATTAAATGGGCAGTATCCACCTCAATCTAATTCAATCCACTTAAATCTTTTCCATTGGTTATTCAACCCACTTCTAACCTGTTAACTATAAATGGATGGATTATAAGCGGTTAAATTATGACTGGGTCCATTATAGCTTACGGAGAGAGAAAGAGGGTTTAATGCATTTTTATGAAGTGTTGGTGTGGGGGGAGGGGGGGGGTATTTAATGTAGGGTGTTGAGAGAGAAGTTTGACATAACTTTTACGGTTTTATAGTAATCTAGAATAGAATCTAGTTAGTTTACACTGACCGAAGCACCTTGCCGAGCTTTAGCATTAATATAATATTTATTAGTAAAGATTAGTGAAAGGGTGAATTACAGGCAGCCACCTTGTTTATTTTCTTTAAAACCAACTACCCTTATGTCATCTTATGAGACCATTTTTCTTTTAAATATTTTTAAAACACCAAACTACCCTTATGTCATCTTATGAGACCATTTTTCTCTTTTAACTTAGTTTATTTTTTCATGTTTCTTTCAACTTTCTTTCAACAAACTTCATCTTGAACTCCTAGAAAACAATTTGTGCTTTAGAATGATTATTTTTTCATCATTTTGATATTTGATGTTATAATCCCATAGCATCTCAAATGAGCAATTTAGTAAGTTTATTTTCACAGTGAACCCCGTTGGCACATCAGGGGGTAAATTGTTGGAATATCTAGATATTCATGGAGGCCTTTGTTGCAAAACAAAGTTAGAGGGCAAAGTGTTACTACCTGGCCCCTATGTGCAGGGTGTCAATTTACCCTTAATAAGAAGAAACAGAGAAATGAATAACCAATACTTTTCATCAGTGGCGAGATAGATTTTAAAAATTTAAAATCTTATCTGATTAATTTAAAATCTTAGTAAATATTACATTACAGGAGGTAAAATCCTTAATGCTGGCTGAATTGCATTGCGTGTTTGTTTCAGCCACATAAAGGAGTTTCTCACTGCTTAAATAACTTATTCATTATACACAAAGCAATAAACCATTCACTTGAGTCATAACTCCCTGTTATAAAACTGGCATTAAGTTAGCCTCCTCAATCTTTATTTATAAAAGGAGCATCGATTGCACTGAAGAGTTTACGAATCTCAACCTTTCGCTTTCTCCATGGCCTATATAGTATGTGCTACTTAGCAAGAAAAAACAGCCCGTCTATGGCTGCTACTGCAATACTTTTCCTTGAGCTGATAATGGTTATTGGATCACTGAGAGGTCTGTGTTTGTGTGTGCTACTGCAATACTTTATGTACTCCCATTAATTCATAACCAGTGCAGTTTCAATTTCTATTTCTCCACATATGATCATTCCTTAGTAGTTAAAACCTATGTTATTGATTTAATTTCTTGAGTGTTTTGTTTCATTCATTTTTTAAAATTGGGCCTGATTATAATTTTATTTTCTCCAACATATTATGCTTTTCAATTTGATTTACTAAAACAAAGCAACAAGTCATTCAGTTCAGCCACAACAAATTGGACATCTCGATCATTAGTACTATTGGCAATTCAAAAATTAATTATTAGGTAATAATTTAATTCATCTTAATTATTATTAACTAGAAAAATAATAATAATTAAAAAGAACTGAGATCTATGATTGAATTAGAAGGAGCAGCTAGCAAAATTAGGAGAAGAGATCATCGACCTTGCCATGGCTTATATCTAATACTTATTATCTTGAAGATACAAATAATCATGCATGTTGATAATTAAACCTTTCTCTCTCTATGTTTTACAGGTGCAGAATCGATAGGTGTATGCTATGGAATGCTGGGCAACAATTTGCCACCGCCCGAACAAGTTGTGGCTCTCTACAAAGCCAACAACATCCAGATGATGAGACTCTACGATGCATATGATAAGAATCGAGACGGTCTTCAGGCTCTGAAAGGCTCCAACATTGAAGTAATGCTCGGCGTTCCAAACAGTGATCTTCAACGCATGGCCGGCCAAGACCTCACCCCGGCCTATGATTTCGTCTATGGCAATGTGGTAGACAACAAAGACACCATCAACATCAAATATATTGTGGTTGGTAATGAAGTTAGCGTCCAAGATTTCCCATATGTCCTCCCCGCCATGAAAAACATCCAGGGAGCAGTAGAGAAAGCCGGTTTACAAGACAGAGTGAAGGTGACAACAGCCACTTACACAGGAGCCCTTGTTAATACCTACCCTCCTTCGGCCTCTGTCTTCAGTGATGAAATCAGGCCATACATGCAGCCCATTATTGCCTTCTTAGCACAGACTGGGTCACCTTTCTGTGCTAACATTCACCCTTACTTCAGTTATATGCTCTACTCACAAAATATTAGGCGTGATTATGCTGTGTTCACTGCACCATCTTTTGTTGAAGAAGATGGAAATCTCAAATACCAGAACCTTTTCGATGCCATGTTGGATTCTGTGTATGCTGCTATTGAGAAGATCGGCGGGTCCTCTGTGAGGATTGTTGTGTCTGAAACTGGTTGGCCGAATGTGGGTGATTTTGCATCAACCACGGAAAATGCACAGGATTATTTGAACGGGTTGATCAAACATGTGAAAGGATCAGGAACTCCCAGAAGACCCAATTGGCCTATTGAGACTTACATATTTGCAATGTTCGATGAGAATACCAAGCCTGGAGCAGAACCCGAGAGACACTGGGGGCTATTCTATCCAAATAAACAACCCAAGTACCAACTTAGTTTTTAATTATTGTGTCATGACATGATGTTTTAATTTGGATCGTGATGTGAAAATAAGTGCTAGTACTCTTTTTTTATTAACTTACGATCTTCGATCCAAATCCTTTACTGCAAAGTTAGACCAGTGTGTTCACCGTCGTTGACCCGAAGGGTCGAGCCGTTTGGCCCAGGAACCATTCAGTCAACCGGTTCATTTTACCCTTAACCTGGTTCTTGTCAAAAAACTGCTGATTTGGTCAGTAACCCACTGACCCAGGTGGTCTTATTGACCCATTCAATAAGCAATTCGGGGCAGTAGAGCGCCCGAAGCAAACACCGAAAGCAAGTTCAAGCTCGCTACTGAGCCCGAACTCCAGACCGCCCTACTAGGAGCCCGAGCTCCCAACCAAGAGCTCGAGCTCCCTACCAAGAGCCCGAGCTCCCTACCAAGAGCCCGAGCTCCCTACTAGGGGTCCGAGCTCCCTATTAAGAGTCCGAGCCCCCTATTAAGAGCTTGAGCTCCCTACTGAGAACCCGAGCTCCCTGCAAGGAGCACAAACTATATTGGGCCCCAAGCCTCGCAAAGCTGTGACCCRAGCTGGCCCATGGCAGCTCGGAACACTCCCCAAACCGAACTCAAGACACCTCGCCCACTCCAACACTTCGCTTCCGAAACGACAGGCTGACCGAACGTACCTGACGCCAAGGACGTCCGTATCCAAGGGTGACGCACCTGACTGATTTTGGATCTGACGCTTGACAGCCACACTTCAAACGGCCTCCTGCTACCGCTACCTGCTACCGTCGTTACTAGCCGCAGAGACGGCTCCGACAAAAGGAGCAGTGGCGGTTCTGTCCGGCCAGAGGAAATGACATCCGAACTGGCAGGRGTTCAGAAGTAATAATGCCCGATCTGACG